GGTAGAGGTTCTTGATCAGTTCCTGCCGATAATATATAATCGGTAGGCTGATCGTTGATAATAGTCTTTATAAAATCTCCTAGTAGCGTATCTGATATAGTATATATATCTTCGCTATCTTTGGTAGATTTTAATGATGAGATTGGATCTCTATCTTATGAGACGGATCCGCTGCTATAGCAGCTTCCTTACTAGCAGTTTGCTTAGTAGGCTTACTAGCTGATTTGCTAGTTTCTTTACTAGCTGATTTGCTAGTAGATAGGCTAGTAGATTTGCTAGTATATCTAGCAATCTTCTTTTGATAGGGTTTGCTGCTTGTTTAGCAGATCTTTTCTTGATTCCTGGTTCCTGATTGGCTAGATCAGATTGATTCTTCGAATCTACCTTCTAATAGTAGGGTCTCTTGACCAAGTGTCTTCTTCTGCTTCAGATCATATAGCTTATAGTGCTTCTGCTCACTATAGCCAATAACAATAACTATAGATTTTCTTAGCGATAGCTTGCTAGGCAGGTTTTGTTTGTATGATAGTAGGCAATAGATCCCCAGGTCTTTATATGCCTGATAGCAGGTAGCGCTTGTGATATATCTCATAGGGTGATTTGAACCCTAGAGCATAAGAGTTATATTATATAGATAGGTAGCAGCCAGCAAGGCTTCTCCCCACATATCTTCTTTAATCTGATTGGATTAATAAACATCCAGCCTTGTTCATAAGTGTCAGGTTTATGCGCTCCAATTAGGCCATTTGGCTCTTTTTTGTATGGGTGTGATTCGGTGTATAATACCGTATCTTCCTAATAATATATGGAAGTTATCATTCGTATTCAGTACCGTTATCGGTAAATATCTCTTTGATCTTCTTATTAAGCTGGTTTTCAACCAATTGCTTATATAAGGTAAATTTCTTAATAGCTAGTCTTTTGATCCAAGTAGAGATATATGTAGATATCTTGATGTTTATCAAGAAACGCGTGATGTAGTAGCGACAGCCATTATAGGTCTTAGGGCTAATAGGCCCTCCAATATCATATGTATTCTTTCGCCTATGCCGTATTCGGCAGCAGAAGTAGAAGATTTAGTCTTCCTGTCATATTTTGACTGTATGCATATTTCGCATATATCTTGCATATAATCTCTTATCTCAGTATCAGATAGAGATATATCGGCCTGGCTTAGTAGCCTTTGTAGTGGTATTGAGCCCTATATGGCCTAATCTATCATGCCAAAGTTTTAAACTAGTAATATTACTTTAGTACTTTGGATAGATTGATCTTGATCGATTTTTTGATCAGAATCTACCTTATGTGGCTTTGTATGCATCACATATAGGGTAGTTGATATAGATTATCTTGCTTATGCCCAATCGGCATAATATTTCGATATTGATCGAAAATAGTGGCCTTTTCGCTATTAAATAGAGATACTAATTTTTCGGTACATGTGTGCTTAATATATTGATTCCCAATTGTGGGACATGAGCACATTAGTCAATTTATGAACTAGATTGGTATTTGTCGGAAGATAATATCTCAGCAAGATCGATAGATAATCTTTGTGCATTTTCCCCACTGACGGTTTTATTAGTTTTATATACACTATCAAACAAATCCAATTTGAATACTGCACATATAGTGGCCTTTGTATCAATAATGAAAATCACTTTTGTAGTAGAAAAGATCTGGTTATCAGATTATATGCACTTTCTATAGTGATATCAGAATTGGTTTCTTGAGTTTGTTTTGATAGGTAGATAAATTACCTGATCAGTTTCATGCGAGAACTCATCGCAGAGTGAGAACTTCTTGGTGTATTCACCACGTTCATTACTCAGATTTGAGTAGTCTCTTATCAGGTTTGATCATCAAAGATTGGTAGGCCATGCCTGATTGGCTGTGCCTCTGTCATGGGTATATCCAGATTCTATCTGATAATCTGATCGATAGTCAATTGGACTAATCGGTGTATAACAGATATCACCGTCCAGATCAATTGGATCATTAGCCAATAGGCTAGTAGGCAGTAGGTTGCTAGCCGGGGAACTGCGTGTTCAGCTTCTGCAGGGTAATCTGTCACATGACTAGTGACGTGGATTTCTTCCTCGTCAGATTGCTCATTGTGAGCATTGCTGTGATCATCTTCTTTTGTTGATTAAATCTTTGATTGTTGATTGGATCTAGGTAATTTGCCCTAGGTATCAGGTGGCTGGTCTGCACCAGAAGGATTACCAGATACCAGCAATCTGCTACTGTAAACTGCGCATATTACAATGCGTACAGTATTTGCCAGGGAATTTGACAATTTTCCATGGTTTTTGCTAATTCGACGATTTTGATTAACCTGACGATTTTTTGAATAGTGCTTTACCTGATGATTAGGCTTGCGATGAGCCTGATATTTGTTCTGTCGATTAGGCTGATGGCTATCAGCTATGAAGATTTGTTCGCTTGATTGAATATGACCACGCGATTCGTCAGTCAGATTGGCGAATAACGATTCAATCGTACAAGAATCAGAGTCTCTGCAGAGATTGAATAATATTTTAGAACAATCAGATTGCGTATGATTGGTCAAAGATTGTTGAGAACCCATGCGAATACGATTTGCTTTGGGAAATCGATTCTAGGCTTGCCAGTTCGATTGAGCGTCTTATCTCATTGAGATAATCATGCATGCTATCGAAATCGCCTAATTGACTATTGAATAGGCTTTTCAACACAAGGAATTCGGTAGTAAAGCCTTTAGGTCGATATTGGGTAGCCAAGGTAACCCACGCACGCCTTTGGTAGGCCGATGTGGTATCTCCTAACCAAAGAAAAGTGGGCCATCTTTGCATGATAAGCGATTGATGATAGAGCGTCTCGATTCATCTGATCAATAGTTTTGAATTTATCAGATGGAATAACTAGCTCATTTTGGCCTATCTCAGCAGGGCTAGTAGATCTTGTAGGTCACCAGATCTTCTTCGACCAAATCGCAGTATTTCTGCAATCAGGTGATCGTTGATCCGGGTGGTGAAACAATTGCTTTTCATAAGACCAGTGTTGATTAGGAATCTGGCCTTGCTGAATAGCAGGAAGCTTTGTGTAATCATGTAGAATCGCATCGATCAGTCTCTCTTGATCAAGAATTGCCTTGATTCGGATAGACCAGGCAACATAATTTCCTTCTCCTTTGAGAGGATCGATATTGTGTTTATTTGATCATTTTGAGTTCCAAAAAACTTGATTGAATATTTGAAAAATGATTGTTTTTGTCAAGAAAGTTGAGATTTCTTAGTTTTCGTATGAAGTAGACGCGACCGGTAAAAATCGAGTATAAATTTTTGAAAATAAGAAGTCGGAGGAGCTTTTTGTTTCTCTTTAAGAGAGAAGTTTCTCTTAAAAGTAAGAGATTCTTCGTTGAAGATGAAGATTGAAGAAGTGGTATAAGCCGAATTAGTAGGATCAATTCGGGCTCTATATTTTCTAATGAGAGCAAGCGATGCTGCTGAGTTGGAGTGAAGGAAGATAAATTAAAGATGATTAAATAAGATCGATTGATCTTTCTTCCTCTTGATTGAATAGGAAGGATAAGTTCAATTCGGCTTAGAATCATAAAGATGAGAAAAAGTAAAGTAGGACTGAAGCTTGGTTGATTGTATTGAATCTTGCTTGTATGTCTTGCATGGCGGTCTGGCTTGATAACATCTGCCCTATATCTCACAAGCCTACTATCACTATATCCACCACTGAAGCTGAGCTACTTAGTTTGTTAGACGCTGTACGCTCGCTGTAGTAGTGGAAGCGATTCCTCGACCGAATCTCGTTCAAACTAAGCTATACGATTACCCTGCGATGCGATAACTAACAGACCGTTACGTTGTTGACCTCCGAGCACGCTAAAATCGATACGAAGCTTCGTCACGTCGATATTCATGGACACTGGATTGAGACAAGAGATCCAGCACGAAACAGGATTGATGTTAAATGGGTTCTAACTACTAAGATGGTAGATGGCCTCACGAAGATCCTACCGCGCTGAGGACACGAGGATTTCGTCAAATTGATGCGTATGGAGGATATACAGCACCTAATCGAGGTGTAGAGAAGGAAGAAGAGAAGGAGATTTGCTGCGGAGATCAGCCTTATCTCGATTGAATTCAACACTGGCGAAGATATTCAACACTGTTCGGCTCGCGAGGGTGTGTCGGAACAGCAGGATGGGTGGATCCACAAGGAAAATACTAAAACACCCGCCTAGCTTAGTCATGTTTTGCCTATAGAATTGTTAGCAAAAGGGGCATCGTAGCAATTCAGACTTGTTGATATCCGATTGGTGCGCGGTATGATTTACTAAAAAGCAGTATTCGCGACTGTTCGCAACCTACAGTGTAGTCACGTGGTTTTCCGAGGAGGCAGAACATCACCAAACTGCCAAAGTGCAGATGATTTCCAGTTCGTCGAATTCGTGTAGAATCATCCGCTTCATTCACTCCTCTTTGCATCCTCTAATCACCTTCTCTATGTTTTGCCACCAGTATTTCAGTCCTGCGTCAAACATCTCCCACTCCATCTTAAGATGCTCTGCGAATCAGAAAGCCGGTATTTCTCAAATGATAGCTTGGAAATGTCTGGGAATAAAATAGAATTAGGAAGTCCAATTTATAGCTAACATGTTCATCAAATACAATCATCCAGAGCTTAACCCAAGTATTACATAGAAGCCGAGAAATGTCCCTCGATGCTCAATCTTTACAACGGCCTTCTTGTAACCGTCAGCCTCTCCAGACGTTTGGCATAGGCCGCCAGCAGGGGATACTTGTCCTTCTGCTTCTTGTCCTTCAAACCGGCCGCTAGCGCATTAGTGGAAACTCATCAGAATGTCTAAGCTACCAGTCAGATCAGCCCCACGCAAGGGCCAGGCGCCATCCGGAGCCGTCTGCAGCTGCTGCTCAGGAAAGCGAGATTACCCTCGATATTACGAGTCAGGAAAGCGCCTCGACCTGCGAAGCCGCGATGCCGGTAATTGGGCAGGCGAAGAGGAGAGTTTGCGGATAAACGACCGAACGTCGCGCGCGATGGTTCAGTTTCGGTTCAGTTCAGGTGTCGCTGGCAAGAATACGAGGCGCAAATACGATATGGGCGTCGAGCCAGTATGACTTACTATCGTTGACCAGAGTCATCACCAAGAATGGCATCAGGGTGCCTTCCACGTAGTGCATGAAGTAGCGGTACCGGATCCCATCGCGCTCTCCGCCGACTTGGCCCTCGCGGCCTGGTTGATGGCGTTCCGGCACAGTGTTGGTCGCACGCTGCCAAAGTGGTCACCGAGATACTCTACGATGGCGCCAGACTCGGCCAGTACCAGCGGCTTCTCTGCTCCTGGGGCTTCGATCGTAATGACGGGGGACTTGCCCAGAGGTGCACCTCCTTGAGCTCGGCTGGAGCCAGCCTGTCGGCACGACGGCGAAGGTCTTTGGCTCATGTTTCAACTGGAGCTCCTCGAGTAGCCAGAGAATGCGGTGACTTCTAGATTGCTCGAGCCTGCGAGGTGTTGTTGTTCTGAGGAAGTTGTTTAGAAAAGGTAGGACAAACCAGTAGAGCGTGATCTTGCAGCCTTTGTTGTTGTCAGTCATTTTGCGAGGCAGCAAGGAGTCGGGTGTAATTGAGACGTCTGACAAGGAAGAGATGGAAATGGTAGATTATTTATTAAACCTAATTTCATTTTTGAGTTGCTCCTCCTTCGGATCATCCGTTCATTAGTGGCCAAGCAAGTGGGCTATGTGGTTCGTGGTTGAATGATGTCAATGGCCCGAGGCTCGGTTGATAAGGATAAACCCCGAGATCTGCGGATCCTTCCCGTTCATGTGAAGCGTCCACGCATTCGTTGGGGGTTTCACTCCATTTTCAAGGCTCTCAGCTGTTCTCTACAGCGGAGTACAAAAAGTAATAGATTGAGACGATCCTCTCGATTTGTCAGAAAGATGGGACTAGTCGAATATATGGGGTACAGTCTGGTGCAACCGTTGGTGTTCTAGGCCGCACTGCTCCTGTCCGAGTTCGGATTCCGTTCCTGTGGTGCCCCTATGTGAGTTACCAACTGCATTCCCAATTCAGCCATGCAACTAAGACTCACAGGTGATGTGGTATCTACAGACTAGGTTATTATTATATGAACGTCTCGAAATATCATCCGTTCAATTCTGCATGTGGTCGGGTTGCTGGAATTGGAGATCGCGAGGAAGGATATACCTACAGGTTTGCAGGGCTGTCAACATGCTCATCGACGGTCTGCAGGCTCAACGAGAAAAGATATCAACAGCCTATAAGCATTTCGAAGATTTGACGGATTATTTCCATATCTAAATGGCTTTCGTTCATAGTCCAATCGACGACGAGATAACCAACAGAAGTAGATTCGAGACTGCCCTCAATAGTTAAAGGGCGTTGGAAGGTCACAGGTGGCAGGCGTTGCCTTCATTCTAGAAAATGTGTACATGCCCTTTTTCCAAGCAGGTGCTCTGTCCTACCAGGGAGGTATATTGGGTGGTTAAAAGGGGCAGTGGTAGCTCGATAGTTTAGTATGACTATAAATTGGCAGCGAACTACCTGGTACATTCAGAAACCTTGATGGTACAACTTATACAGGAATTAATGCAAGGGAGAGTTTATTTAGACATCAGCAGAGCATCCAAACACCGCACCCTCGCCTATCCCACGATAGGTATTTGTGAATTCTTCAAGGCCAACCTCAAGCTTAAACAGAGCTCAATATGATGTTCATTACCCCCGCTCTATCGGATGATCGCCGCTCGGGACCGAGGTACCGCATCGCACGCCGCGTGCTGGTCAAGCCGACCATCAGGACTCATAGAATGTATAAGACGTATAACCTTTTCCTCAAAGTAGCCAAGTACAAATTACAAGAATACCTATTCCTCTAAAAATGCCACTCACATCCCTCGCCCTCGATATCCACGTCCTACGAGACTCTGGGTCTCACTGACATCAAGATCTCCACCATCCTATTGGAGTACCATCGGCAACTCTGTCGTGGTTATCACGCTGAATAGACCAGAGAAACATAATGGGTTCACACCTGCTATGTCGGATAGCCTGACGCTGGCATACCAGATGTTTCATGTCGATCTCGTGTCAAGGTCGTTGTGCTGACGCTGGTGCAGGAAGGATGTTTTGTGCTGGGATGGACCTCGATGGATTTGGGAATGGGGAAGGGAGGGCCGCTGATTTTCGGGATATGTAAGTTAACCTAGTGGTCTCGAGTGGATCGATTTAAGCCGATGAGTCGTTTGTTAGTGGTGGACGGGTCACTTTGGCCATGCATCAGTACCATAAACCTGCTATCGTCGCACTGCAAGGTTCGGCAGTAGGCGTGGGACAACAATGGCTCTGCCGGCGGCAGTAAGGTATGCCTTGCTAAGTAAAGTATAATGCACCCTCTTTTTGACCTTAATTCAGGATCTGCCACGAGAAAAGCAAGTATGGCTTCCGTATTCGCCCGGCGAGGTGCCATCGAGTCCCTGTGCCTCATACTTCCTCCTCGCTTGGTAGGATTCTCCCGCGCGATGCACCTCTCATCTCTACTGGCGAGTCTTCCCACCATTGCCGGCATTTCGGCGACCTATTTACGTCCTTCCTGATTCCGCCCAAGTGCTCCCCGCGCTTTGGAAATAGCTCAGGATATGGCGGAGAATGTGAGTCCGCTAGCATCCTCGATGAGTCGGGCGTTGATGTGGGAATGCCCGACTTCTCCCGAAGAAGGCTCATTTGCTGGAGTCAAAGGTCTTTCATCATATGGTTGGGCAAAAGTACATTTATTAGAGTGTTGATTGAAGATTGGGTCCAGTTAAGGCTAAGGGATTGGTAATTGATAGCTGACTACTTGCAGGGACTACAAGGAAGCGTCAACTACGTTCTTTGAGAAGGCGGAAGCCTCAATTTGAGACTGATCCGCGGCAAGTAGTGCGCCGAATTATCCCTGGTGGCCCGAAGATAAAATATCGCTCTGGAGCCAAGTGTTTCGAAGGGTCTAAGTTGTAAATGGGAAATTTCCATCAAACTATGGAAGCAAGAATGAAGGCAGTTGGGTATATGATTCAATAAGAGGCAAATAGTGATTAGGTATCCTGGATTGAGACAGACATTCTGGATTGTCTCATAAAAAAAAAAGAAATAAACAATATTCACAATGCAATCTATACATCATTCCATCATGTTGGGTGTCCAGCCCTCGCCATGAACAAAACATACCAGACATAAAATCATGAACGAATGAAAAAAAAAAAAAGGAATCAATCAATTAGTCAAACTCCATGTCTCGTGTATTCTAGTGTAAACGAGAGTGGAAGGGGAAAAAAGAAAAGAACGAATCAAAAGCACAAGAATGTCATTATACTATGCCACCAATTCCTGGGTTCGTCGGCCCACCACGTCCACACTAACGCCGAGCCGCTCAACTCCACCGCGTCCAAGATTCCCCGCCCGTCTTCCCACTTTGGCTCAACCATGTTGTACGCAATGCGTCCACTCGGTCGCCTCGGTGGCCGTTGGCCGGGTCGCAGCTGAACGGCAATCACCGCAGTCTGCAGAGCAGGCTTCTTGGGGTCGCAGTTGATAAGACACGCCCGCATGGGTCCAGGTCCTCCTGGTCCTGTCGGGCACAGGCTCCTTGGGTTTTCCTCGCCCATCGCATCCGCGGTAGAGCGAGCCAGTTCTTTCTGCATGGGAGGAATAATGGACTGGATGATTTTACGGGCTGGGGCATTCCGGAACTGGTCACAATCGGTTGCTACCAGCACCGCAGGCTTGGGAACAGGCCAGGTACGGGTCCGGATGAACCTTGACAATCTAATTTGCGCTGAACTCGGGCAGACAGTCTCCAACTCGCGCAGGATATCTTCCTGGCGACAATGGGTCGAAGATGGCGATCTCGGCCGGTCGCTCTTCCGAGAAGCGCACGAACGACTTCCACCGCCAGGACTCGCGCGTGTCACCGGTATTCTTCTTAAAGGCGAATCCGAGCATCGCGAGCTTGCGTCCAACCAGGTTACCCTCGAAACGATCGATGATCTTGCGAGAGAATCGATCGCGCTGTCACTCGTTCATCACATTGACTTGTCGCCAATAGTGTGCCACATCGTCCAAACAGGATTCCGCTAGGTACGCCAGACTGGCGATGTCCTTGCGAAGCAGGACTCCTCAGCCCAGTCCTGCCTTGAGGAACTGGGGCCCAATACGAACATCCACTGCCAATAGCCTTAACCACTGGTCCACATCCATCAAGTTTTCTCGCGAATCGCACTAATCAGTTGATGCTGCTGATGCGCTGGGCAAGCATGGCGTTGGCCACCAGTTTGGCCAGTTCTGAGGACCATGCATTGGTCTCGATGATGCGCGATGGGGGGCCAAGCCGCATACAATTGGCCAAAGTCTGGGCCGCTAGGCGTCCGCTGGGAAGTGGGTGCGGATCCGATCAATGCCAGGTCTGGGGCCGTGAGGTTCTTGACGGCCGTGCCCTCGGCGAGAACTCGGGGTTGGAAAAAAAGAACCTCGAAAGAGACGCCTGGTCGGTGGGTGGCAAGCTGCACGAAAAACGGGTTAGAGAACACGCTCTAGATCGTACGAACATCTTGGATAAGAGATGCCATTTTTGCGCACCCGCTCCGCTGTCCCTCCTGGCACGGTGCTCTTCTCCACGATAATGGCGCCTGGCTTCGCATGGGCGCGACATCGCGCATGGCTCCATCAAAGGCGGTCATGTTGGTGGCGCACCCGGCATCCACGCCGAACATCTTTATTTAATTCACCGCCATGAGGATGATATCTGCGCGTGAGATGGCCTGAGCAGAGTTACACGTGAAAGGCAAATTCTGGGGGCGTCCAGATGCAGAGGCAGCGGGCTGGATGCCCTCGGTGCTGATATCGGCACCGTCGCGGACAATACGCACGACCGTGTCCAAACCCCGGTTCGTGGACGGGTAAGTGCTGGGACTGCCATCGTTGAGCTGGCAGGTCTCTGTCTAGCACTTCGACCGAGATGGAAGGTGATAGAGTGCCGCCGAAGGACCACCTGTAGCGATTTGGGGTCAACTCACGCTCCACCACAACAGTGAATGCTGCCGCTGAATCTCGGCTGGGATCACGACCTACCGACATATCCTGCGCCGACGACACAGATATTCTTGACCGCAATCCGGGGTAACTCGGTCTCGCTGAGGACGCGCGACTGCGACAAAGCGGCCGGTTGAGATCATCAAATTCAGAGGGACGGAACAACGGGCTGGCACCAGGGTGGTGGGACCCGTTGAGCAGGACCGACTTCCCTCGGAAGTTCCCTCGGACGGGGAGGAGGAAGACGTCCATGGGGATCTCGTCGCTGGACATGGTTGCCAGCGGTGGTGTGCTTTGTGTTGCGACGAGCGATGAGGGGAGAACCACGAACCACGCAGGACACGAGACAGAAAATAACGGGGTAACGCGGTCAGATCAAACGCAGTCAGATCAGTCGGATCAGTTGTCTCTCTGTCTCTGGGTTGCGTGGACGTGGTGATCAATCACGATCTAGTCGGAGCCGAAGTATGAGAACTATGAGAAGGCTTGGCGCGACAACCGATGCACTCGAGGAAGAAGAGAAAAGGAAAAAGGAAAAGACCAGGAGAGGATATTCCGCTCTCAGCGGACGTTCCTCGTGCTCCTCATGACCATTCCCGAGCAGGTCATATTTCTTATTACGTTTCTCGTCGTTGCCCCTTCATATGGACTCCTCCTGTACGGAGTACTCGCTGCACCGGAGGTGGGAAATGTGAAGTGATCGCGATCGTCCACTTGCAGAGCGCATCGTTGCAGGAGCACGCGGGAATGGCGCGTTCCCACTGGCTGCCAAGCAACACTAAGCAACACCCCAAAAGTCCCTAAGACGATTCCTCTACCACCTTCCTCCCAAAATGTCTAAGAAACACCAAAAAAAAAAAAGATGTCCCAAATATCCCCCAAAATCCTGGCCCAGTCCTTGTCAGCGGGCAGATGCGGCACGTGCAGCATCTCTCGTCGACATGACCATCAGCTCTGTCCAGCGCTGTGCATTCTCAGCAAGCTCCGCCAATCGACGGCTCTTGTGTGCCAACCCGTGGCCTTGTCCGGCCATTCTCGTCCCAAAATGGGCGGAGATGAGAAAGAAAGAAGAAACTTCCTTCGACGGCCCAGGACCTGCACCGGACGTGAGCAGCCAACTTGGAATCCGGCATTGATCAGCCCGCCCACCTGCAAAAGACTATCTGTCAACCCCCTCCCCCTCCTCCCCCGCCTCGAGAAGATTCTCTCGCCATGACTTGTGCTGCATCGGCATCATGGCCGAGTCGTCGCCTTTGCTAGCGTCCTTTCAGGAGGATCACGACCAGTTCCCCAGCATTCTGCAGGCCAAAAAGGTCCTACTGGCCACCGAATCCTGGGGTCCTGTCAACGGCGTCAGTCGCACCACTCGCAGTCTGGTTGAGTACCTGCGCAGGCATGGCGTGGAGCTGATTCTCGTCGCGCCGCATTTCAAAGGCGACACCGCGAAACAAAGGTACCCTGGGGCATCGCCTGCCCGGGTGCTGCTACAACCCGGACTTGACCGTGGTGTATCCGTTCCAAATCAACCAGGTCTAAGACCTTCAAGCCCGATATCATCTACCTAGCGGGAGTCCGGCCTCGCTCGGCTTTCAAATGCTCCTGCAGATTCGCCAACTGCGATCCCCCGCCAGTCTGCTCCTTCCGAACCGATCTGTCCGCCTACTCGATCATGCTTCCGACCCCGCTGGATCAGTTTGGCGTCTGGCTGTTGGCCACCGTCAGGGATTCTTGTTTCAGCGCGCCGTCATGCCGTCTTCTACCCATGCTCCGCCATTCGAGGCTACCTGGAACGCGCCGGTACCCCCCGTCGATGGTCGTCCAGCTGGGTCGCGGCGTCGATACCGTTTTATTTACCCCCCGCATCGGGACGAGGCCCATCGCCGAGAGAATCGCCCCGGGTGGAGAAATCATTCTCATCTGCGTCTGTCGCATTGCCCCGGAGAAAGGATTCGAGTTTCTCGCCCAGGTCGCGACCCGCTTGGCCGCGGACAAGGTGCCGTTCAAGCTGTTGATCGTGGGAGGAACCGCAACCCCGCGGTGGAAAACAAGGTCAAACGGTTGTTTGACGCGGTCCGGAATCATGTCGTCTTCACCGGGTTCTGACGGGGTAGTAGGCGCTGGCTCGGGCCTACGCCTCGGCCGATCTGTTCTTGCACTGCTCGATTACCGAGACCGCTGGGCTGGTCGTCCTGGAAGCCATGGCGAGTGGACTTCCCGTATTGATTGCGCGCGATCAGGGCAGGCCCCTCCTGACATTATCCGTCATGATCAGACCGGGTATCTGGTTGCACCACATGACCTGGATCGATTCACCGAGTTGACGCGGGAAGTCGCACAAGACTCGGCCCGACGGGAAGACTCGCGACGGCTGCCCGAAGTATGCTGATGATACCACCTGGGAAGATCAACCGTCGAGCGGCGCATCGGCAGATTGCCGATGCGTTGACATACTGATCAAGAGTCGCACGGGCCACGGACACCGCTTCGACCGGGGATCGCTGACTGACCATGGAGCAGGTTCGTCTCGCGTTTACGTGGGCGTCTATGTGATGTGGTTGATTGCGGTAGTCCCGTTGATCGTCCACGAGACATCGCTTTATCCCTCCGGGCATGGCAGGCACTGCGAGATCAATTCCAATGTACTCGACCGCTCCATAACTAGATTTGATACCCTGGGTTTCTTTCTGTTGATACGGCGTTGCCATAATTCCTTTGTCCTTGTTTACCGTTCTTGCTTTGTTTTTTTTGCGACCAACACGGTCAAATCTTTCAGACCTGCAGTTGATTTGATCCCTCATGAAGAGCCATTTGCTATTATGATTCCCATCAGTCTGATACGATCCTTCAATGCTACATACTTCATATCTTTCTACCCCGTTTCGCATTATACATTATGAAGTACCAGGTTTGTCATCTTCATTACACAACACAACCGCACCAGTGCAGTATCTCTTCAGACCAATACCTATGTCCCTCTATTAACCCGATATTTGCCCATGACTTCCCACCAGCAAAATCGAACAGATTCGACAACGTGACACCGCAATCTCGTGAGAGCCTCCTCGTAAAGAACCCCTGGTGGCCACAGACCAAAACATTGGGAAACGTCATCAACCGCATCAAACATCATCATCAATAATCTCCCCCGAATGATCATTGTAAAACAGCTCCCCCTCCGCCTCATACACATCCAACGCCAACCCACCCAACTGCCGCGTCTTGAGCGCATCAATCACCACCGACTATCAATCAATCCTCCGCGAGGTATTCACCCAGCATCGCACCGGGTTCATCCGCGCCGGTACTCTCGTTAATCAAATGTTTCGTCCCTCCGGTCAACGGACAATGCAAGCTGACAATATGACTCTCCTGCAACAGCGTATCCAACTCGACCAGCGTGCCATACTGCCCAAATTCAGGCCCCTGAAACGGATCATACGCTATCCAATCAACACCACCAAACCCGTGGAAGATCCGCGCCGCAGCAAGTCAATCCGTCCCACGCCCACAATCCCCACCGTCTTCCCGTAAAGCGTCGTCCCGAGTAACCCCTCGATATTGAGTTGCCCTCGCGCACGCGGTTATACGCCCGGTGCGTCTTGCGGTTCAGCGTTTTGCACGAGCGTCACGGCAAACTCAGCTACGGCCTCGGGCGATACGCGGGTACACGTTCGCGACGAAGAGGCCCAGCTTTTCGGCCGTGCTGAGGTCCACGTGAGTTGAAGCCTGCGGGAGGGCCGCGCGGACGCCGCCCTTGTGCAGGGCGTGCAGGACAGAGGCGTCGAGTGTGTCGTTTTACGAACGCAGACTGCATCGCTGGCCTGAGCGAGCCAGGACGGTTTCGTCGGAGGGGGCAGGCGTGATATTCGATTGTGCAGAGGGTTAAGAGGCGGGTGGTGAGCACTTGGTCGAGGTAGCTCCGGTCGTAAGGTTGGGCGCTGAAGACGGAGAGCTTCATGATTGGAGTGGACGAGGGAGGAGGGGATTGGAGAGTTTGTGGTTTGAGGGTGATGGTGTTTGTGCTTCTGGTCGTGGATCATAGTACGGAGTACTGGAAGGGGAATATTATTAAAGCGGTTTAGCTCGAATATCGAGGTCGAGATCGAGGTCCAGCGCTCGAACCTAATGCCCTGCATGACGTGGCGTCGCGTGTCTCTGGACAAAAGCACCGAGTCATGACGCCATATCCGGGTGCGGATGTAAGCCGATGTGGAGAGGGGATATGGTGGATTACCATCGGAACTATCTCGAAATAGAAACAGTTGCAAGCGAAACGGATGCAAGCGGTTGGGAACCTTTTCCACCGCGTCTGGAGCGGCATCGCGGGGGTCTGGAGTTGCACTTGCACCTCCGGGAGGAATGTAAGGATCGAGATCTGACGGGCCTTTGAATCTTGGAGATTGTACCAGATCTGAGGGTTGATGGGTTGGATCAGGACCGTGTTTCCTGGTCCGGAGTGAACGTGGTTGTCCGCTATAGTTTCATGGGTCTGGTACAGTGACTGAGTGCTGAGTTATCCAGCACTTTGTATGGCTGATGTGAACTACAATAAGGTATCGCAAAGGTTATCGCAAAGGTTATCGCAAGGTTATCGATAGTCCGTGCTTTTCCTTTCCCCCGCGTCGATGCTGTCTATCGTGGGAAAGCTTGTCCTGAGGGATTCCAAGGGTCGAATACTACGTTGACTTGGAGGGTTTAGTTTTATGACTAGGTCTAAGAGTTGTCGAGGTCTTGATACCTGAAGCTTGAGGAATGTAGCTTTGGGCACGTTCAATTAGCAATGACAACGGTAGTCTTTATCGTTTTTCGCAGAACGGGCACAGTAGGCAATAATAGTATATTGTATTTGGAACTATGTACTTTCTATGGTTGAATTGGATACTTACTTGAGACTGCAAACAGTCCTCTCTCACCTCTTGGTGGTGTTGCTGATCACCGCGTCAACTCATGTCAACGGTCGATTCCATATGCAGGTGCTCAAGCCAAATGCGGAGAAATTTCCCGTTATACCCACTGCCCGTTCTACGGTCGCAGCGTCGTGAGCACGATGTGTCAACACGACCGAGTCCAGGCGCAAAGAACATTCGGATGCTGCATAACCATCCACTGACTATCGAAGGCGGAAGCGCTGTCAGTAGAGTTAACTTTGTCTCAACCGTCACTCGGAGATTCTCCAACTCTAACTAGTGATTGGCACGTCGTGTGTCTTCAGAGGCGTCGTTCAGGGCGCTAGTGAATCTTTTGATGATCTGGCATCATTGAATCATCATTCCTGTACTCAATACAGTAGTATGAATGCGACCTGCATGCCAAACACTATACGGACTTAGACTAGGTTGTACACAGGAGAAGCTGGTGGTCACGCTTAATGTCGGCAATTGAGGCATTGAGGCGAGAGATTTCAAGGAGTTCATAATTTCGCTACGGGTACGCGGAACAACAATAATGAACCATTCTCATGCATAGAGGAGACAGTCTACTACTTGCATGCTCCGTACTCATAAATGCGTAAACGCCCGCCGACTCCCGAGGCGAGCTTCAGGCACGAGCCGAGGCAATAGCAGTAGGAAACATTCCAGATGATTGCCCGGATTCGGGAGAGAACAGGTCCACCGATCGGAGGAGATGCATTGGTGGATAATGAACCTGCTCAAACTTGGGTGGCGGGCAAAGTGCTGATCCGCGCAGGCGGGTAGACAAGTGACACAGTGTGCTTCCATATTTTGCGCCAATCAGGAGCTCGTGGAGTTTGTCTTTGTTAGCGCGGTGGAAGGGATCGTCCAGAGTCGAGACTCGAGAACTTCCTTTAGGCTTTGAGGAGGAGTCTCTTTGCTTGAGTTTTCCCGAAGAGGAACCGAACGGTGTGCTTCACAGTTCTTCGACGAGTGCCAAAGGGCTTTTCGAGGCTGGTAGACTTTCCCCAAAGGCGACGGACCCGAGGATTCGGTATCCAATGATCTTTCTCTGATAAGCCAGAAGCATACCAGCTGCCTGGACGGTGGGACGGGAAGGTGATTGGTGGCGCATGGTTGTATGGGCTGCGCTTGGCACTTGGAAAGGTGGCATAGCAAACCTTGTATGAATTCTTGTGAGGAAGTTGATTGGAGTCTCTGATCAGAGAGTGGATCCCAGTGGGATTCTCGCCGATTGTCAACCTCTCACCTTTTGGACTTCTCGGGCGGAACCCGCTCAGTGCATCCACGCTGGGAGGGAGGATGTGGCCGCTGACATCGATGGCTGGGAGGTTTTGAATATCATAACATCATAGCATCATAACATTATGCAGCACATGCCTCCTCCTGCGGAAACTATCAACTGGTCGAAATGTATCAGTACTTGGAACATACCGAGAAGGATGGGCCACCGGTTGAGTCGAGTCTCCCGATCGAGAGGATGGCACGAGCTCCTTCCGCGGAGGACGGCGGAGCTGGCGGGGGCCAAGTGGAGCAGTCTGCAAATAACAGACTTACCGTACGTTGGCGCACTTACAGGATGTATGGTGGATCTCATTCTGAGATTCGAATCCATCAAATGATAATGATGCGACAGGACGGAAAGGAGCTGATGAGTGTAAAACCAAGTGCAGTGCCTAAACATGCAGTACAGTATGAATGTGGAGTGAGACTCAACGGGTCGCGGATCATACTTCGGGTATGGATCACTCCGTCAGTACTATAATACGATTCTGGATAGTCAGACGGATATCCCCGCCGCAAGGGGAGAGGGAGAGGATTTCGTTGGTTGGTGATGGATGGAGTAGACAGAGATATAGATCCTTGCACACATATGTGAGAGCATCTCTGAGAGCTGTGATGACTCGGGATCTCCCAGAACTGGCCAGTTCTCTCGTCGAAAGAGCGGTCAGCAAGAGGAGGCGGTTTAGAGGAAGCGATCGATGTAGTCTCCAAGCATGATGTACTCTGGCTTGAGAGAGAGACGAGGAAGAGGATGTACCCCTTTGGAGGTGAATACGGGGATCGAGCTGGCCAGTTACTACTTTGTCTCTGCGTCAAGGATGCGAGAGTGACTTCTCCGTACTGTAGTTCAGAGTCGCCGGTTCGCTTCTCCGGATGTCGAGTCTTGCCTCAGAGTATATTAGCGAGGTCGTATAGACGGGAGGACACACCGGCAAAGGGCGGATCTGGCACCGCGGGCCCGTGTCGCTGGCGGTAGTTGGAGGACCCAAGCGGGAGAAGGAATAATCATTCATCTGGGTAGACAGTGGTAGTGAAGAGATACTCTGGTAGATGAGGGAGTCGATAGAGATCATGACATTTGATGCTTAAACATACGGTAGTGGTCCGGTCTGTTGGATACATCCAAGTGAAGCAGTCTCCATCCATCCCATCCATCGTGGATGTACCGGTACATCTTCTTGTCTCCCGATCATATCCCCCTTTCTGGGTTCATCAGATGGGATTCTTTTCAGAGATGACACTGAATTCAACGTATCTTATTTGAATGCCCCTTTCCCCCTACAACGACCTCCCTTGTGGAATCCACTATTCTTCTCTCGTCCCTGCCCGTGATCGTCTTCCGCGCCATCTCGTTCTGCGCCTCCGGTAATTCTTCGTCGTCGTCTCTTCCTTGCTCTCTCTCTCTCCACTTTCCCACCGGTCTTCTGAAGGATACTACTCCACTTGCTTCAACGCTCCTGTCGCCCCTCCTCCGGACGTTCTCCACTCCTGGTCCATTCACCGCGCACCGTTCGCCTTCAGCCTCTCGCCTTCTCCCCCGGGACTGGAACAACCTCCAAGACCCTGTCATTTGCTCGTCCTCACGGAAGTCTCCTCGTCCGGATACTTCTGCCAATCTACGACGCGGCGAATCCAAGAAAGTGGACTCGATTATTATTATATATTAATGTGTGAATCCTCTGGCTCTGGATTTATTGGACTTACCTTCAGCCGACTGGTCACCTGGTCCACTGATCACTTGTCCCGAACTCATCTCGCTCTCTCGCTCTCTTCTCCCTTTTATTACTTCTGTCGCCGACAAACCGTCTTGGGACTCCGGCTCTCTCGCTCTCTCTTCCTCTCCCAACTTTTTTCCAAACTCAATCCTCTCTCCTATCCCTCCTCCTTCCTCTTCTTCATGCTTCCTCGCACTCCCTCTCTCCCCTCTTCTCCTATCCCCAACACTCATCATCATCTTCCGAAATGGCAACTCACGTTATGACCCACGACCCCGCCCCCGCCCCGACCGGCACGGCCGCACCCGGCAACCACCGAATCTCCGTCTACGGCCAACCCTCACCCACCAACTCGTCCACTCCCACACCCGCGAATAACTCTCCGCTCCCCGCGTCTCACCACCGCCGCCCTCCATCGGTTACCTCTTCCAGTCCCGCCAGTTGCGTCCTCTCAAGGGCCCTCTCTACGTCCCAGCCTGCTCGGCCCGCACCGAACGTCCTCAAAAGTCCTCGCCCATCACCCCTCCGCGCAGTGTGCACGGTTCTCTCGACAGCCTGAACGAAGACACCGAACCCATCAGTCATCGCTCCACCATGGAGAGCAAGTCCAGCGGCATCAGCAAGGTCGCTGAGCACGAGTGGATGAAGACCGAGCACTTGGGCGTGGTTGCGGGCATGCCAACCCGCGGTCACTGGAAGGGTGAGTAAAAACACGATCTCCTTGGTTGTTTTCTCGATCGTCTTGTCATAACCCCCTCTTTATATATGACCGGGCTGGTGAGAATGGCGCCATTCGCAGTCGACGTGTCGCGCTCGTCATCGGAATGGCGCGTGCTCGCATGATGACTGTGTCTGGCAATCGAAATCACATAAGCTGTCCCACCATGTTTTAACGGTCCTGTGCTAGCCCCTTTCTCTCGCTCTCCGCTCCAGGCTGACGCTGCTTCTTCGAGCTGTGATTCGCCCACTTGCCACTCTTCGTTCGGCCTCTTCACCTGCCGCCATCACTGCCTTCACTGCGGCCATTGCTGTACTGCAACCACACCCCCTCATCTCGGCCTCTCGATCAGAATGCCCGCTTCCACCCCGATGGAGTTCTCTAGCGGAAGCTTGAGATCTCTGCTGGAGTGCCTACCAACGCTGGGAAGGGACTCGCGCCGATCGCCTGAACAAGATTCAGAAGGCTCGATCGACGCCAAGAGCGACGAGGCCACTCAGCCCGCCGAGGATCTCGAGTCCAGTGATACTCGGGCCGAGACGGCTCTCAAGGCTAACCTCGGCCAGACAGCCGGCAATAGCTACCAGTGTTCCCCGTACTGGAACTGGAGCACCTTTTAAATTGACCGAATGAAGATTGTCTCTCATGATGGAGTTGACCTCCTTCATCTCGGGTCTCCCTCTGATCAGCGGGTCACCAGCAATAGCATTCTCGACATACTTCACTTCTGATATCTCCGCCTTTTTTCATCTTTCTACATGGCCTCGATATTTTCTTCTTCTCTAATTTGCGAGCCATCGGATACGGAGTTTTCTACAGGCGTCCTGGGTTATGAACATCATGCGTGCTTTGTTTTTGCTTTCCATTTCTCTATTGTCCGTTCAAGACACCCTCCCTCCGGGGTAGCCCGTGCTTGACCACTTTTTGCATGATGTTTTTTTTTAGACGGGATCCAGCGGTCTCTGGTTTCCTTGCGTGCTCCTGTTTCTTTTGCAGTGGCTTTTTCATGGTCTTTTTTTCTTCTCTCATGTTTCCAGTCAAGGATACCCCGCCACTTCTCTCGAGCGGCAATCTCGTTTCTGCTTTTTTCTCTCTTCCGTCCTTCCGCACTGGTGCCTGATCCTCAACTGCAACGCTAGACGGACACGACGTGGGCCTTCAACCCTCGGAATGAAATTCAACTTTTTTGACCTAGTCCCGAATTTGTTTTCTATGTTGCTTTTTGTTCTCTTCTCGTAAACCTTCGGTATACAATTGTCTGTATGGGGGTGTATCTTATCTGATATGCACACTTTCCTGCACGCCACACCACATCGTTCATGCCTGTCTACGTCTATCACATCCATGGACCACCCAGCCCACTATCGTTACAGTATCGTTATGTCCCAATACTCTCATAAACAATCCCCTCGACTTTCCGTGGCCACTGGCCATATCGGCCCTCTATTTCAAGTGATGATTACAACTCCACCCCGCCCAGAAAACATCCCAACGTAGCCTAATCGCTTCACTCATCCCACCTCCCCAACCCCTCATCCGTCACAAACCCAAGCCCCCGATACATCCCTTCCACATCGACCTGCGCATGCACAAGTACCAATCCCCTCCACGAAGCAGGAGACCATCCCCCTCAACCACCGTCGAGTTGAAATCGTCATTCGTCTGCGCTGGGCCCTGGGCCTGGGCCTGGGTTGCTAATTGCGCCGCCGCAGCATCAATCTCCCCCCCGCGTGTGTTGCGTCCCACGTCAATGCCGTCTCGACGAGACGTCGACCCAACTGTCCCCGCGGTACTCGGGGGCACAGCGTTGCGGGTAAGTTTTATACTAGGCTCATGGGTCCAGTCTGATCGGGAAGGTATTTTTGTTGCCGCGTCGTGCGGGTGTGTGAGGAGGGGGCGTGGTGGTTAGGTGGGGGGACGAGACGGATGACTGCGACGGGGATGGATGATGCCGTTGAAGAAGAAGAAGAAGAAGAAGAGAAGAAGTAGAGTCTTGTGCGTTGTTTGCTGCTCCTATCCATGCGTAGATCACCCATTGCCAGCTTCATGTGTCGTCGGCGTCGATTTCGGATTCAGGGTGCAGTGCTGTTAATCGGCGAAGACGCGCATGCGGATTTGCATTGCATCGTTGAAGAGTGGGGGGTTGCTGGCGGGGAGGGTGGGTTGGGAGGTGGAGGGTGGTTGTTGGGCCTGGAGGGGGTTGAATGGCGATTGTGAAGGTAGGTTTTGAGGTTGTCATGATGGGTTGTTCTGCGAATGGATGTTGGTTCTGCACGGTGTGGAATATGGACACGATGTGTCTTGTGAAGAAGGGTTCCTGGCCACCAGATCGAAATAGGTTGGGCTCTATGGGAGCTGGAGGTAACAGGAAGTAGGTGGTAGGAGGTGGTGTCAAAGGGTTAGGTAGAGTTGCCGAGAGGAAGACATATATATAATCGGCATCTTAGACGCGGAGTATACATCCACTGACTCACCGATTGTCTGTCACTTTAAATGCTAAGCTAGGCATCTCATATTTCAATTGAAAATAAAGAGTAATAAAAAATCAGATAACCAGATCTTACAGCATCAGATACATTAGGCCATAGGTCTTCTTCTTACCTCGATCATCCATGTTGATAATGCTGAACTCGATGGCATACAAAAAGTCGACCCACAGGAATGCAAACAAGTCAAACAACCCGCGATCTCCATCATTTCATCAAATTATCTTTCCATCTTTTCCGATTTTGAGAGGGTGTGTAGCTCCACAGCATCGCATCAACCCTTCATGTCCCTCTACTTCGACGCGGTCGCAATCCTGACCGCGCCCTCGACAGGAAAGCTCCTTCAAATCCCGCATCTACAGCGCCCGCCAATCTCCGCGCCTCTCCCGCCTAAATCTATGCCCTGATCACCAAGGCCTCCAAATGGGACCGCGTCCTGGCGGAGGTCATTGAAAATGCCGATATTCTCAGCGTCGAGCATAAGGTGAGCATGCACCAATGCCCCACGGGGAATCCTATGTCATACTGACTGACTGACAAAGTACCATTGATTCTCGTGTAGTTGGCTCCGCTTCTAGCTCTCCTCTGGGTCTATGACCATCTCCTCTCGAAGAAAGGCATTGCAGCGCCGGCGGCTTCTCGATTCGTCAAGCGGTGGAGCGGCATAAAGAGTTCGTCTCAAGGCTGAATTTACAAGGCTCGCGTGCGTCGGGTTGTGCCTCGTTAGACCTGCTCAAGGCCGCGGTGCTGAAGAAACGCGAGCAGATGGGACATCCCATTTCGTTTATCCGCCTGGGTGCGCGTGAATAATATCCGAGTTCTCTCGATGATCAGCTGCGCACTACATTCTCAGATTACGGGCGTGTAGATTCGCTTGCTGCACTCCCCTTGGCAGAGGATGATCCGACGAAGCGGAAGTTGTTGTACATGGATCCTAATATCCCCGATCTTGTGGCGGTGCCCTTTGGGGCGGATTTTACGTCGTCGCCTGCATACAAGAACGGGGAGATAACTTACAGGATAAGGCGTCGTGCTTCCCCGCATATCTCTTGTTAGGTGATCGCGGGCCCAAGGATGCCTGGCAGGGGGACTTGGTGGATGGTTGTGCTGCTCCGGGAAACAAGACTACCCACTGGCATCGTTACTCGCCAAACGGCAAAAGCAGCAAAATCCTCAGGAAACAGATATTTTCTATGGATGCGTCTAAAGTGCGTTCTAAAACCTTCGGAAGATGATCTCCTTAGCTGGGGCAGACCCTATGGTTCACTGTGTTGCAGGGCCAGGACTTTCTGGCCTTGGACCCTATGGATTCACAGTTTGAGAATGTATCTGGTCTTCTCTGATCCAAGTTGTTCCGGGCAGTGGCATTGTGGGTCGAGATGATGTTCCCCAATTGACAGTTCCTCAACCTAGAAGTGGTCCAGGTCTTCCGAGCCCAACGGGCAAGAGAGCAACGGCACCGGGGGATCATGATGAGCCCGAGGAGTCATCATCAAACGTGACGTTGGGAGAGCCGAGTGCCGCCCCCTCGGATGAGAATGATATCCCAAGTGGCCCAATTGACAATGATCGACTCCTGAAAGTTGTCGAATCTGCAGGCGCGCATCGTCGAGCATGCACTGAGATTTCCCAACGCAACCCACGCTGCATACAGCACCTGCTCCATCCATCTGATCGAGAACGAGGCCGTAGTGGCCCGCCTCTTGGCATCGGACGTTGCTAGAGAGCGTGGTTGGCGACTGTTACGACGCGACGAGCAGCCAGAGGGCTTACGCCGGTGGAAGCATCGTGGCGTGCGTCGTGATCGAGACATGGAGACCGGCGTGGAGTCGGAGGAGGAGCGAATCGGTTGCCGCACTTTCCGAGGAGGACCTCGAGGCTTGCCTGCGCTGTTGGTCCGGCGATGCTGAAGGGTTGGGAGGATTCTTTGTTGCTGGGTTTGTACGTGACTCGGAAGGCGTTGGTACAGAACCTGTCAAGAAGTCCCACGATGATCATGTTGCAGACGGTAATCCCGAAGATGATGCCGCTGATGACAGCGATGAGGATGAAGAGTGGGATGGCTTTTCCGATTAGAGATCGTGGGCAAGGTCGAAAACGCCTTGACCTGTATAATATCACACCTTGCATAGCAGTCGTGACACCTCTTCAGTTGACGTGTCCCCACTAGATAATATCTTCAGAGGAACTTTTGCTGTTGGTTTCGCACTCGCGCAGTCGTCCAGGTGTCCAACTTGACCGCGACCAGGACTGCCTCGTATGCGCCGTTATTGTCAGGCTCCACCAGTAGTCGCCATTGCCCTGTTCGAATCACGCATGGCTCATTGTAAGATGATTCAGATCCATCCGTACGGTGACGCTTGGCCGGCGGTAAATCATCATCCGTCTCTAAATCTGGTGCAAAATTCGCCGGGCAGGTGTAATTCGATTCACCGTCCACCACGATATCCGTGGCTTGTCCCCAGCGGACCTTGATAGGGATCGCGCCCAATTGCAAATTCGGAAGATTCATCCTCTTGGCCACTACTTGGAGCAAGCTCGCCATGCGAGACTTGGTTAATCCCACGAAATCGGCCCGGCGGATAGCTCGATTGACCATAGTAGAGGCGTCTGCAATTTCCAAGATCAAATCGGACGGGTTCTCGTCGACGAAGGGACGAGCGTATAGCACCGACCCAACGCCGGTTCGAGAAGTCGTATCCGGAGCGAAGTGAATACCGGACGGTCGTACATCTTCCGAGGCGAATCCACAATCTCCGAGCGTTGACGGAAAGGATTGTAACTGATGTGGTGGGGAATCAACTTCTGCTCCAGTCCGCGGAGATGGAAATAGCGACAATCGCGTAACAGCTCTGCACGATGATCGGCATTTCGAATATGCAGCGGGTATCCACGTAGCAGGTGAAGCAGTTCTGCAAACACGTCTGCAGACCGGTTGGGGACGCTCGGGGGCACGATAGCGGGGGTCGAAGGAGACCAACGCGGTCCAGCCCGGGGAAGACCTCGGAGGGCGAGGCAAAAAACGCGCCGAAACCAAGGGAAAAGAAGTTCGGGGGAGTCACCAGGGCCGGAGAAGATGTCACGAGGGATCTGAAAGTGGTGGTCGCCGATCTGGATGAAGATCTCGGACTCGAATAATTGGGACATTAACCGGGGCACTGTCGTTGGTCAGCATGGGGGAGGGTGGTCAGTCGCAAAATTGGGGCCATTGGGTGAATATCTGACAGGTGTAGAATTGCGCGTCGGCGAATAGCTTCACAAATTGGGCGCCATCTCGAGGCTGGACATGATATCCTGTATGACTGTTAGTAGTGGTCCATATATTGAGGGTGCAGGCTGTCGCATCTGCGCGTCTTGCCCTGCGCGTTGCTGTCTGTATGTACCTTGGAGATGGCGGGCTATGTCCTGAAAAGTTGCTGGGTCGCGATCAATGTAGAGAGTTCGAACATTGGAGGGATCGACCAGGCGCAATTGCTCCTCGAAGAAGCGGGAGAAGTAGGAGGGTGCTGCATGGAGAGTGACATGTTAACTTTCACGATCGTCGGAACGAGTTGGATCTCCACCGACCGTCCGAGGCAATGGAGGCTCCCGACAGGCGAAAGAGCTCGGAGCCAATCTGAATGGAGAAGACCTTGTCGGGGGGAAGGGTACAGGCTGGTGATTTGCCGGCGCTAGCAGGGGTGGAGGATTGGATTCTCCTGCCATGGTGCAAGGTGCAGATGGAGGAGGTAGTAGTTGGGGGGAGGTTGAGAAAGTATGAAGGGTGGAGGTGGTGGAGGTGGAGGTGGAGGTTGGCGGTGATTGAAGCTCAGCTAAGCGGCGACCGCGTCAGTGCACTCGGAGCTACATCGATAGCTTCCATAGTCATAGTTATGGACCTAGTAGATAGTGTTTGATGAGCATCAACAAGTTGCACTATCTACATAGTCACTATACTAAGGTACAAATCTGTATGATAAGTCTGGGAAATGCAAAATCTGCATCCTACCATACTACTTTTGATTGCTAATATCGTCACCAACTTGAATAATTCAAGTATTCAATTAATATAGATCTAAGTGTTTCCTTCTAAAATATTATTTTTATCTAATTATTTAGACATAAAGGCCTAATTTTTACGGTCGCATTCAGTTTTATCGAAATCTAAGTGGTAATCTTTAATTAGCGCTAAATAGGTATTTTTGTTAGTAACTAGGTAAAAATTTTTGAATATATAGAAAAGAAATCACTTAAATGTATACTAAGAAAGGTCGATCGTATTCTTATATGTTTAATCTCTGATTAGTAGCGGTTTAAGTTCTAGGTATAGATTAAATGCTATGTTATGAAGATATTTTGTTAGCATTCCCGTTCAAAATATATATCTTCGGAAAAAGGGGACTACTTTCCTACTATGTACCTGACATTAGAATATTTAGGTAGTGATTTTCTTGAGTAGAATAAAGATTTTAGATATTTAACAATCTTTTAAAGTACAAAAAACTATATAACTAGTATGTTATCAAAATATTGAATAATCAAAGCTTATATATGTTAGGTTTTGGTGTGGAATAGGCTTATTTCCCAGACTGTTGCGCTCTTAGTGTAGTCGCTATACCTGCCTAGTCCTAGTCGGTAGTTAACATACAGTAACTTCTCCGTACAGTAGTTAGTAGCAGATGGCTAGATTAGGCACCTACTAAGTTCGGCTGGAAAACTCCGGTCCTGCAGGTCAGAAGGTCCAACTCTCGAACGGTGGAGATCTCATTGATTGACATTTTTGATTTCCATTCTAGTGATCATGATGTTATCACATACTTGACAGTAGTATATCCCGGGGGAATAGTTCCCTTTCGATGGGGTTCTTATGATCATCCGTCGTTTTCTTTCTTAATCCACTCTCCGTACTTTTCGCTAGACTTCCTCCTACCTGATACCGAAAGAAACATTAGATCTTTCCTGACGATGCCTTTTAAATAAGAACCAGTAATCTTTAGCTAGGATCGCTAGTATCGCTGTGAACTATACTCATCAAGGTGCTTCGATCATGTCATATATGAAACCATAACCAGGCCATCGGGACACCAGTTACTAGTCCTCCGAACAAAGTACTACCATCATCGATAGGTAGGTACCATCCTATCTATTGTAGTACTCCGTACTCGAAGAATAAATGACACGTCGGATAGATACTTCTCTTTTGAGGTACAAGGCAATCAACTTAAAATACGGGCTGATCTTTTCTATATCTCTCTCATCATCCACCGAATGAATGCACATGGCTGTGAATCTCGGCTGATTCAGGGAAATTTCGCCCGCACGAGCTTCTCCGAGAACCTGACGATCGCCTGCGACCGGAGCATCTTCACTGGTTCGACGCGTGGGAACTGACCCACTTGATGCCAAAAAGACACTAAAAAAACTGGATCCCAAGCTCTCTGGTTTTCATGGCACTTTTCCAACTAACCGAGGCCCTACGCCCCCTCCCAGTCCCAATGTTAATCTTCACCGAACCCTTTACGCGCTTTGTTGGGAGAGGAGGAGAGCATGGCCTGGTCTGATTCTTCTCGATCACCCTCCCCATCCTTTCCCTCGTTCTTCTTCCGACACGTTTCATTAGTCCCGAGGCTCTGATCCCGAACCTCCGACCTGGGCACCGTGCGAACAGACTGTGGGGAAGACCAGCGTTGGTCCGTTGGCTCCGGAATCCGGGGTTATATCTGACCTCTCCACTCCCTGTCATTGTCATTATTATTATTACTCTTTCTTGCTTTTCCTCGCTGCAGTGCGGGTGCTCCGTCCATTCTGGTTTTGGACGTATAAGGATCTGTGAGACCCTGCATAGCGTGGCGGTTCGTGTTTGGGGGTTAAAGTTCTATCGTCAGCATGTCTGACCTGGTTGCCTCCGAATATACTCCGCTGGAGGTGCCTCTTCCTCCAGGCCCGGATACGTCGTTCTTTTCCGAGACGCAATGGACGACACTCTTTGCATTGGCAGATGCTATAATCCCGTCAATTCGGACGGCTGCTACCGTCAGATCATCAACCGACAAGGTCATTTCAACCGCAGAATGGGACTCGGCCGTGACCAAGCTGTCCTCGTTGATCCCCGGCCCTGAAGCCGTAAAGGTCGCGGCCATCTACTTGGAAGAAGATGTCTCGTCGAATCCTCTCTTCCGTGCATACGTGGAGCGCATTTTCGGGCATTATGTACACGAGGAAGGAAAGAGTGGCTTTGGGTTGATTATGAATGCTCTCAAGTATGGATTTTCCTTTTAGTTCGTTGTGTGCGATCGCAATCCTAACCTCGGAAATAGCACTCGAGCGGGCTCATTGATACTAACCGGGTCCACCACACCAATTCATCAACAGCCCGTGGCCTTCCGTGAAAAGGTCTTCCGTGGATGGGACACTTCCCGACTGCCCCCCTCCGCGCGGTCTATCGCGGACTCTCGGCAATCGTCAAGAAGTCGTGGGTGATGGCGAGTCCGACCATGAATCAAGTTCTCGGAATTCCTCGCATTCCCGTGCATGGAAAGCCGACCGATGGCTTCCCGTATGAGTTCCTGCAGTTCCCTGCTGGAGATCAACCCGAGACGATTGAAACGGACGTGGTGATTGTCGGTAGCGGCTGCGGAGGCGCAGTAACTGCAAAGAACCTGGCCGAGGCCGGTCTTCGAGTGCTCGTAGTTGAAAAGTCATACTCTTACTCCAGCAAGTCGTTCCCCATGACGCCGAACGAGGCATATGTGAATATGTTTGAGAACGCGGGAGCCACTATTAGTGAGGATGGAACGATGGCTGTCCTGGCAGGCTCAACGTGGGGCGGTGGTGGTACGGTCAACTGGTCTGCTGCCCTTCAGACGCAGGCATATGTTCGTCAAGAATGGGCCGATACTGGCCTGCCCTTCTTCACCTCACTCGAGTTCCAGCGAAGTTTGGACCGTGTCTGTGACCGGATGGGAGTCAACATCGAGCATGTTGAGCACAACCGACAGAACAACGTCATCTTGGAAGGCGCACGCAAGCTCGGCTATGCGGCCAAGGCAGTGCCGCAGAATACCGGCAACAGCGAGCACTATTGCGGCTACTGCACGCTGGGCTGCCATTCGGCCGGTAAGAAAGGCCCCACGGAGACATTCCTCGCCGACGCAGCCAAGGCGGGTGCAGTCTTCATCGAAGGATTCAAGGCGGATAAGGTGAAATTTGACGGGAAGACCCAAAATGGGAAGCGGGTTGCGGTCGGTGTGGAAGGTACTTGGACTTCGCGCGATTCGTATCTCGGCATCAGTGGCGATGGCGCCGTGCAACGCAAGTTGATCATCAAGGCGAAGAAGGTGGTGGTCTCGTCGGGTACCTTGCAGAGCCCTCTTTTGCTGCTGCGGAGTGGCATCAAGAATTCTCAGATTGGAAAGAATTTGCATTTGCATCCAGGTAAGCCAGGTCCATCATACCTCTGGTATATCTCTCAAACTCATGTTTTTGAACAGTCATGGGCGGTGGTGCCGTATTTGACGACTCTGTTCGCCCGTGGGAAGGTGGCGCGTTGACAACCGTGGTCAACGAGTTCGAGGACCTGGATGGACACGGTCACGGCGTGAAGATTGAAGCCGTGTCGATGATGCCATCCGTATATATTCCGGTCTTCCCCTGGCGAGACGGTCTGGACTATAAGCTCTGGGCTGCGGGCATGAGTCGCAGCACCAGCTTCATCACGTTGACCAAGGACCGTGATGGTGGTCCGGGTCTTCCCCGACCCGGTGGATGGTCGGCCTCGTATTGATTATACCGTCTCGCCCTTCGATCGGCGCCATATCGTGGAGGGCATCATCGCCGCCGCGAAGATCGCCTATATCTCCGGTGCGAAGGAGTTCCACACGACTTATCGTGATATCCCGCCTTTCATCCGCCCTGACGCGTCGAACCCGGATGCTCCAGAGGCACCAATGATGTTGCTCTGCAGAATTGGATCGCCGAGCTGCGTCGCAAGTCCCCCTTGAACCCCGAACGGGGCCTGTTCGCCAGTGCGCATCAGATGGGAACGTGTCGCATGGGCAAGACTCCCAAGACTAGCGTGGTGGACCCGGACTGCCAAGTTTGGGGAACAGATGGCTTGTACGTTGTTGATGCGTCGGTCTTCCCCAGCGCCAGTGGTGTTAACCCGATGGTCACCAACATGGCTATTGCCGATTGGGCCAGCCGAAATGTCGCTCGGGCATTGGGTAAGCCTCGAAGCGAGCGGAACGGTATGGCTCGCCTGTGAGAGAGCAGGCTATATATACTCATATCTTGATTCTATACCTTTATACCCATATCCCTTCTCATGTTCATGTTGAAAGATTCTCTGTACAAAGTTACCCTGGACAGTTTCGCCATCTGTGATCCTATGATGTGCAAGCATGTATCATCCAATGTCGTACATATTACGAAGCGTAACGAAGCAACTCATGTAGTGCTTTTTCCGTATCGAAGGTTTTAACACTTCAATTTTTCGCAATTCGATTTCAGGACCTGTAGTATTTACATTTCACTAGTATTGTCTTGCTCATTTTATCAAGACATCATTATTCTGCACAGTCATGATCAGTGGATATTTCATTCGTCATTATTTAGTACTTTTTAAGGGTGTTTATCATGTCTTGAATCCTCGAGAAAACACCAATTTAGCCCTGGTAGGGCTGGCGCTTCTCAACGAAGTTCTTCTCTCCAAAGGCCTGCTTCACACCTTCAGCCTGAATAACACGCTCATACCAGGCCACAGTGAGAGGGAACTTCTCCCGCATCTCCGCATCGATGGACATGGAGAAACCCCAGACCAGAGCGGACGCAACGGTAATATCAGCCATGCTGATCTTCTCCTCGCTGGCGAACCAGGAACGGCCCTTCAGGTGGGTCTCGAGACAGCCCAGCGAACGCTCCAGGCGCTGCAGGTTGTTGTTCTCAGTGGCCTCGTCGTAGGGGCGCATCTTCAGACGCCACAGGGCCAACTGGGTGACGGGGTCCAGGATCTCACCCTGGGCAAAGCTGATCCACTGGCGGATGGTCGCGCGCTCGGCAGGGGTGGCACCGAGTAGTTGGGCGCTGGCGGGACCACTCTCGGCGATGTACTGGGCAATAGCGTCGGACTCGAAGAGGTTGGTACCGTCGGCACCCTCGAAGGCGGGGACCTTGCCAAGAGGGAACTTGGAGAGGAAGTCCTCGGTCTTGTTGGTCTTGCCCATGGCGAAGTCGGGGAAGATGGTCAGCTCCAAGCCATTCACATTAGCCGCAGCCTGGGCCTGTCATGTCGAAAGGTGTTAGCCAAGCCGCGCCACTGATAAGGTTCGCAAGGGACAAATAGAGACAAAGCAAAAGGTACAGTACCTTCATGACCCGAGGGCTGGGCATGTACGAGTAAATCGTGCCGAATGGTGCCATAGTGGAGGAGAATGAGGTGCGAAGTTCTGCAGAAGGGTATAAAGTCAAGCCACGGTTCCAGGTTCCAGGAAGGGAGGTAAATCCCGATTTAAAGACGTCCCCTGTAGAACCCTGCCCCGCCTTCCCGCTCCTGACCGACTTTAATCCCTATGGAGGATTTCCCCCTGGAATCTGGATTAATAATGCTGATCATTTTCAACACGTTGCACTGCTGGCCAATGGAGGTGGGGTGGAAACAGGTGGAAACGGATTGCTAATCCGCAGGGAATGAATTCCGTGGCAAGTGGGGTTCTTAAGGGGGAGGAGGAGCATGCATTGGGGTGCCACGAGAGAAAAGTAGAAGGATGTCAGGTTGTACAAGAGAGAGAAAGTCAACAATGAGCCCGGGATCATGGTCCTTTGTTCAATGGTCGTCGAATAGCAAACAACCACCTGGTCTTGGCGTCAGCGTCATCGTAAGCATAAGCAGCTTAAATAGTAGTTCCAGGAGTAGTTCCAGGAACCAGGGTCTGCAACGGCCTGAATGACCTATGATAGCCAATAGAGTGGACGCAGAGTGGACTCAAGTTGGAACAGATATGCACTATTCTCACTATCGTGAATACCAAACGGAACAAAATCCATTGAATCCACGAAAAAAGATACATACAAACGGATTTACTGTCAACCGTCAGTCCGATACATACCATGACGGTACTTTATGGACCATAATCACACAAAGTGCTTACAGTTCACCCCAGTCTATGTATGGTAACCATGGTATTATTACCACAACCGCCCAACTCACCTTCCTGGGAACCTCGTCATCTTCAAGTCTGCCCATCTCCAACTCGCCCATCCACCATATAACTCAAATCCTCCACGGAGACATGATCTCCCCATTTAACCCCAATCAATGCCCCCAGTCTTTCGGCTCCCCCCTGAACTGCATGTCTTGATTACCTCCTTTCTCCCTCTCGACGATCTGCTCCACTTCAGGCTGACCTGTGCCTACTTTTACGATTTGATCCCCAAGCCATCACATCAGGAACTGCTACTCATCGAATCAACCGACTGGGCCCGTCTACGCGATGTCTACGCGTGTCGCTACTGTCTTCGGCTGCGCCCGGCAAGTCAGTTTGGAGAGAGCATGCTACGGCGGCGCCGGAGCCGAGAAGGCCGGGATAGTAGCAAGCGCTTCTGCGTCGACTGTGGACTGAAACCTCGCAGTGGCAAGGCACGTTATGGCCCTGGAGCTCATGTCGTCATGAATGGCAACTTCTATGTAGTTTGTCTCTCTTGCCGGGGCTTCCAACTGGGTGCGATTGATCGCTTCGGCAGACACACCTCCTACTGTGTGAGCTGTTGGCAGTATCCGCATTCCAGTCCAACACTCAATACATGACACGGAGCGGAGGTATTCCTTCGCTATTCATTAGAGAGGTGACATCGTGGAAGCCAAACGCATTGATTCCGGACTCAGTAAAAATCAGTCTATATCGGATACCGTGACATTGCACAAGTGACCCGTCCTAAAAGAGACTCCGACCTTCCTGCCAATTTCGGAAAGTACGCTGTACTCAGAGCAAAGAACTTCAAACTCCCATAAAGCATGGTCCAATCCACCTGTGGATGTTAGCGCGTCGACTGCACACTCGGGCAGATAGTTATCACGCCTGGCACGGCTCGGACAATTTCAAATAATTACGACAGCCTGAGCTTCAAAGTTAGCCATCATCGGGGCTCAGATAGCCTGCACAGATGGGATTGTCTCAGTAAACTTACTGGTGTTGGCCATGTCCTCTCCAAACAAGCTAACCAGGAGCTCCTCTCCATGTCGTGTACCCTCGTCTGGTGTATACGAGACAGCCTTCGTTCCTAGGGCCAATCCAATTACGGCGGGGGAAGGATTGAGGGTCGTCAAGCTGGGCTTCTCTCCACTACACTCAGCCAGCATCTGTTGATGAATATTCAGCGCTGCATAATGGCCCATGTGCATTGCGCCTCCACAGCGTTTAATACCGGGCCAAGCCGCAAGATCCCCGACGGCATAATGATGCTCTGAATTGGGGATATCTCCCGAAAATTGCAATCTGGTAGCGTGTGAGTCGACTATCTCAAAAGAGGTACGGATGGAGAAAGTTCAGACGCGACTTACGATGAATGGACCTTCACATAACCTTCCTTGTCCAAGGTCTGCGCTGGTAGATACGTGGATGTGGGAACGCATCGCGAAATGGCGCTCAATACATGGCCTGTCATGATCTGCTGCCTATCACCCAGTGTCAAGCGCCACATTCGCTGGCCAGCTTCCGCATCAACCGCGGTGGTGTCAATCACCCGCTGGCCCAGTATCACTTCAACACCTTCCTCCTGCAGAATAGAGCAAACACGCTTTGCAACCTCATCGGGCAATGGCTCGGAGGAGAGTAGCCGACTCCGGGAATGAATCAGGGTCACTTTCTGCTGTGGCTCAAGCATTTTCAGCTCTGCAGCCATTTCCACTCCAACTGCGCCTGTGGTTCCACGATCGAAGAGTTAGGTTAATCAGAAAAGGCAAAATTAAAAATGATACCGGAAGAAAAACGCGCACCTCCACCGACAATCACAACCCCTTGGGCATTTCGAACATTCTCGGCGTGTTTCCTGGCCTCCTCGAGGAAATCATCCCGTTGCAGAGACTCAGGAACGGTGGGATACTCTCGGCGCAGGCCGGAAGCCACGATGAGATAGTCATAGGGCTCGGTGATAGTTGACTTAGTCGTCGTATCTGTGATGTGGGCGACCTTGGCGGCACAATCTACCTTGCTGACGCTGCCTTGGATGATTTTGAAATTTGGAGACTTGAGTGCGGGAATATCTTGGAATCGAGTCCATGACTCGGTGGCCATTTTTTCGCAAGCCAGAGACTTGGGAGTCCCGATGAGATGGTCTGGGACGACCGCGTTAGCAAGATGCCATAATTCGTTTACCAGCAGTTCGCGTTTGCATACAGTATCCGTCGCGCTCATCCACAATGGTGGTTTGAATGGGAATCCGGTGTGCTGGGGGTGGGCCCTCGTAGGCATAGTTGAAGCGAGGCAGGCGACCTCGCGAGAGATCCCAGAGATTCAGAGCAGCCGAGAGACCTCCATAGGAGCCACCGATAACGAGAACTCGAAAGGAGCGGGCAACTGCCAGCACGCCGTCGTTGGAGGGCATCTTGAGGGAAAAACTAGGCAGGGAGGGCGCAAAGTAAGGAAAGGAGGGGAAAGGCAAAAAGGGCCACGAAATGTGAAAATCCTGGCTGTACAAAGTATAATATACTGTGCTATGAGCAAGGCCCGCCAACGATCAAGGGGGAAGATGTCTGGCTCGGCAACCAGCCAGCCCGAATACAGTAGATCATTTTGATCTTATCAGATGCGACATGGGTGATGTTCCACAATTCTGGTCCACTAGACATTGGAGAGGGCGACACCCCTTACCGAATTTCGTGTATTCTGCCTCTTGGCGCCAGTACGAACTTATCAGATCCAATCCGATCCTAGCCGGAGTGACCTGAGCAAGGTGCCTAGGACAGTCGAGTGGAGTGTTAGGGTTCCAGTCCGATGGTGGTACGAGTACTTGGAGTATCCCGGCATACCCCGAGCAGAATCATTGAGTAATACCCTAGAGGATTTGCTTGCCATCCGTGGGACATGAGTCCCGCGGTTCTGGGCGGGATTCCAATGACTTTGTCGAGAACGTGTCTGGCCAATCACGTACGGAATCTCGATCAGACAAGATCCGCATCTAATCTGATTTTCCCGAAACAGGCCACTTAATCCGACCCAACCCGAAAATAGAATAGAACCAGCGAAGAAAGGAAAAAAAATAATGAAACTCCGACCAAACACACTGGCCAGGCCTGCCAAGTCGCTAAGGAAATCGCGCAATTTGCCCAGCTTTCGTCAGCATTACTAGTGGATTCCGAAGGCTCCATTTGTTTTGTATTTGGTTTTGTAAATTCGAAGACACGAATCGCGCCATCTGATAAGATTGTCCGGCGAGATCAATCGAAAATTTTTCACCCGTAAACCCTTCTAACTATGTAACACAACCAGACTAGAAAATGAAGTGATAGGCAGAAAAAGAACTCATAGACCGGGTAATAGCACAATCCGACACGTTCTAAATGTTGCCAACAAAGCATTACATTACGCCTGGACTCCTCGTTGCGCCAGCGCTGCCGTCGCCATCTGCCGCAACTCCACCTTTCGCACTTTTCCGCTCCCCGTCACTGGTACCGTGCTGGGAACGCCCTCCTCGCCAAAGACAAACACATATTGCGGCGCCTTGTGACGACCGAGGGTCTCCCGGGCCCAGGCACGCAGCTCTTCATCGGTTGGTCGGGCGTGACCAGCAGCGAGCTGAATGAACGCGCCAACAACCTCGCCGTACTTGGAATCGGGAATTCCGATAACGGAGGCCAGCTCGATGTGTGGGTGTGCCGCCAAACGCTCCTCAATCTCAAGGGGGTATATGTTCTCGCCACCACGAATGATGATATCCTTAAACCGACCGGTGATGCTGCAGTAGCCTCGCTCGTTGAATGAAGCCTCGTCGCCCGTCTTCAGCCAGGTCACTCCGTCGGCATCCTTGACGAGAGTTTCGGCTGTTTTCTCCGGGTTATGCCAGTAGCCTTTGGTGAGTTGGTATCCAGCGATGCAGAGTTCGCCCCGCTGACCAATAGGGACAACGTTCCCCTTTTCATCGATAATCTTTGCGCGGGCGTGGGGGAGGATCTTGCCGACCGTGGTCAATCGCGTGTGGATGCTATCGGTGGTGAAGGCATTGAAGCAGGTAGGCGAAGCCTCGGTGAGACCTAGTAGAGGATATCGCATTAGCATAGAGAAGAAATGAAGAAGGATAGGAGAAAAAAAGTGAGGGCGGATAAAGCAAATGGGGTGCTTTGTGGCGTGTTTCATACCATAGCTACTGGTATACTCGGTCATATTCAGTTCTTCCAAAAGTCGCTTCATCAATGGTCGTGGAACGGGAGCTCCGGCAATAATACCCGTGCGCAGGTTCGAGGTATCAAAGCCAGCAGGCTTGGGGATGCTGAGGATGGCTTCGAACATAGTGGGGACACCATGCAGTGCTGTACATTTTTCGTCCGAGATGGCATGTAGCACTGCCTTGGGATCGAATGTTTCGCTGGGGAAGACAATCTTCGAGCCGTGGGTCACCACCGCCAGCATTCCTAGAACCAGTCCGAAACAATGGAAGAGTGGAGGTGGACAGCAGAGTATATCGAAGGAAGAAAGGTTCATACGGTCACCAATGAATCGCGAGTTATTCACAAGGTTACTGTCGAGTAATTAATGAGCATTGAACTTGTAGTTGCCATTTGGTGCCATCTCCAAAATACTTACCGGTGAGTCAACATGGCTGCCTTGGGATTTCCAGTCGAGCCGCTGGTGAATTGCAAGTTACACACGTCGTCAGGGCGCAATTCGGCCTCACGATCCTGTAGTAGATGAGCCGCTTGTGACTGGCCCCGGCTAATGATCTCGTCGTAGGTGGGGAAATCCTTGTAGTAACCGCGAAGGATCACAATCTCGTCCACACATTTTGAAGTGTTGTTCTGCTTGGGCTTGGGGCCTAGCTCTTTCAAGACTTCCTCGAGGTTATGGCGGCCGATGTGAGGAGTCATGAACAACAAGCGGCAATCTGTATTGCGATTGTAGATTGGCCCAAGTTAGCTGCATACTCATCTGTCGCAATTGGACGTACAATTGGAGGAGTTACCGGTATGATTCAAAGCATAGTACAGCTCCGAGGGAGTATATGTGTTGTTCAACACCACCAAAATCGCACCGACTCGCGCGGCCGCAAAGAAGATAGAAATATACTGTTCACAATTACCCGCCATAATGCCAACGCGATCGCCTTTTTGAATGCCCATGGCAAGCATGCCCCGCGCAAGACGATCTACCTCATCCTTCAGATCCGCATAGGTCCATCGGGCCCCGGTCCATGGAAATACCAAGCACTCGTAATCTCCATATTGTAGCGCTTGCAGCGTCAGTAGCTCGCCCAGGGTAATATCCAGTAGCTTCGGTTGAGTCGGTCCCGCTACAATTGACCATTGAAGGGGTGCTGGTGGTGGTTGGATATGGGACAGCGTCTGCTGCAGTCGATGAACACTCCGGGGAACAGCCATGGCTGATATCAAGCTAGAGGCCTGGAAGGCGAAGGGGTGAGTTGAAGAGCAAGTGTGCGATCTCGGAAAAAGATGGAGCGCATCCGTGGGCTTATAACAGGAGCCGATGATACCGCGGCAATAATTTTTTATTGTTTTATTTTTTTTCCCCCGTATCAGATTAGATAGCCATTGATCAATCAGATAGGCGGGCATGGTGGAGCAGCGTATTGGAAGGTGGATTCGTACGAAGGAAACGGGATGGACAGCTGGTTAGCGGCATCACCCGTCAATTTGTCTATACTGTACTAAAGTATACTTCGTAGTCAGAATGTTGTAGTTAGAACTTCCGAGAGTCATCCATAGTACGTTGCAATGATTCTAAAATCTCTTGGGATGATAGAGGGCCCACTCCACGTCATGGACACACAGAAGCGAAGGTGAGTACAGTAGCGTGAGGTGCCTTGTAAGCTCTCATCGTGGTAGTTGTCCTTGAGGATAGCCTCTCAGAGGGGAGGTCTTGCTAGTAACAAGGTAGAATACTGGTAGACCTTGAGCTACTTGCACCCATAAGCGCTTAAACCCGATGTCTTGCAGTGGGCTGTTCGGAATACGCCCCGAAGTTGTCCCCGGGCGAGATGAGTCTGTGGATATCTGTCCGACTCTGCTCGAGGGTGACAGCGATCGGCCAAACAAGTTTCCAAAGGCGGATATTCGCTCCGGAACTTTTCGTCAGATTCATCAATTGAATTGTCATAATATCATTAGTGTATACACAAGTAATACGCTCGACCGATCTGTATTCAGCGTATATACCGGAAAATACCTGGTCATGGGATCCACTTTGAGTCGGCTGGCGGGCCTCTCAGCGCCCCGCTCGGATCAGATAATTTCGAAGTTTCCCTGCATGGCGTGACGAACCATCCCAATCGTGGGAAAGAGAACAAGCTGTGGATCTTTGGAATAGATTATGACCATGGATTCGGATTTGGTATTGCGTTGACGTGCACCTCATCCTCCACGTGGACTAGTCTTGTTTTGTGTGCATTCCATCAAGTGTTGTGGAGGGAGACTGTAAATCCGGCTGAGCCAGTTTCGACTGGAGTGGACCACCACTAGTTGATCCGGATGGACCGTGGTAGAAATGTTGCCAAGATCCTGCTTTAGTCCGCCGTCAAAGTTATGCGTGTTACGGCATCTGTCTTCGTGTGGTAGTGTGGGCTTGCCAGTGTGGACTGTAGATCTAACCAATCAGCCCGGTATCGGCGTATCCACAATACCTCTGCTCCTTCATGCATACAAAGATGCTTGACAGCTGCAGGGTCCGAATGAAAAGAGTCTTATATCCTCTACCCGTATGTGAAGGTGGATCGCTCAATGTAGCCATGCTTTCCTCTTACTGCACAGCCCCATGTCACTGATGGATTTGCTTCGGTTTTGCACAGCCATAAACCAATAGATAGCCATATGAGTGATTACTAGACGCTTCTTGGACACTACAGTGCTTCCATACTCCCTGTCTACTTAAGCCAAGCCACTGGGTGGTAACGAAGACTCACGAGATTAATAATAATCTGAGGGAAAACAGATCTGCGAACAAAAGAGGCACCTACCTAATGTAACAGATCAACCTAGACTTTCACAAAAACAAGTTTGATGACAAGAAACACTGGTAGTATGCAGCAAGGACCTTCTATTAAATATGCTTTAATTACATTAATTGAACGTCCTAACAAAGACGACAAATGAGAATAGAACGAACGACATGGTACGCGAGAGAAAAAGCAGCGACCCGTGGATGAGAAGTTGCTGATCTCGATGCACCAGAGCAAAAGGCCCTCGCCCAGGCGCTCATGTGTACATATATGTACGTAAGTGCATTGTACACTTCTCCCCATGTAGGCCCAATGGCATTGCACAAGGTAGGCCTCGCAGAATCATCTGCTCGGGGCGGGTGGCAGCGTAAGGGTCAGATTTAAATGAGGCTGCTGAGAGCGACGCAAGGCAGAGCAACGCCGACAAGATCACCGTTCTAAATTTTATTAGCTGCGTCTTTTCATGAGGACTAGTAAGAGAGAAGAATGACATACCGCCTCGGAGCGAGTGTTCTGGCAGCAAGCAATGTTCTGCTGGCACTTCTTGTTGACCAGATCTTGGGCGTTCACGGGAACGAGGTTCAGGACGGGCACTACGCGGAAATCAGACAATGCCAAATATTTGCAGGACCTCAGTAAGCTTCTTACCGTTCAGGTTGAGGTCATTGCAGCCGTTGAAGAGACCCAGGCCGTCGGCACCGGGGCCGCCACCCACAGCATTTGCCAGAACGCCGGCGAGGGGCCCGTTGTTGGCAGTGGTGACCGAGCCAGTGGTAGACTTCTTGTTGCAGCAGGAGACGACGGCGTCGTTGCCACACTTGGCGTTGGCCTGGTTGAAGGAAACGTCCTTGGAAAGGGGGTACTGAACACCGTTACCCTGGCTGGTAGCACCGTCACCGGAGGAAGGGAGAGCCAGAGCAGTGGCAGCGAAGAGGAGAGCAGAGGCGAAGAACTTCATTTTGATGGTTTGGGGGTTGATAAAAACAAGAGGTGATTATTTGGGAAATGAGTGACTGAAAGCCCTTGAAGGTAGGAGAATGGTTGGAAAAGTGATGAGTTGGAGAATGAAGAATCAAACTTGAACTGGAAACAGGATTACTTTTTATATTCGTCGTTCAGTATTCTAGACCCCCATCAAGATGCCTCGAGCTGAGGATTACTGTACTTTGTCACCCAAACAGATATGTTTTTGTCGAGCTAGATGCAATTGGTCTCACAAAGCGGATCAGAGAAGTCAATAACGTAGGGGACCCTGCTGGTGGCAACTGTAGATTCTTACTTGATGCGGAACGGTAAACAGGGTTCCTGGCAAGCTCCCTCTTGCTAGGCCAAGATGACTAGCGATGGCAGCGTAGGACATGTTCAACCCGGGGAATGTGGCTGCAGGAACCAGGCCCTGCGGTCCCTGCCGATCCGTCAAAACCCGGTATAGCTAGCTGCACGGAGTCCGGAGTATATTGAGAATTGGTTGTGACTACTAACCACCTAATAGTTCCTATAGGGTAAACATGGCTGAGGTCCACATCCTAGCATAAAGTGGATGCCAGGCTGCCCTAAACACGAACTGTGGGGAGCTGATATGGCTGGGGACTATTGGCAAGGATATTTCTAGGTTGAGATTATGATCAACCCTCGGGATGCAATAAATTTTGCTTTTTGCATTGGGGCGGCGGCAACAACAGTATGTATTATGCTTCCCGGAGAGATCGGCGATGTGATCTATCAAGCATCGAACTTGTTAATTAGTCATTCCGGGGGCGGACGATCGCCCGCTAATGATTAAAGGAAAACCACAAGTTAAAAAAAAACAAGACTGACGAAGAGGCAACAGGTCGCGACCGGCTATCGGCTATTCTGACCATGACAGCGGGCGATGTACAAGATTAACCCTGCTATATGTATGTGTTTTCTTTTTCAGAGACCTTGGCGGTTGGGATCTCAATTACTGACATTCAGTGCCACAATTGGCTGCAACTCTCGATTTGGGAGAATTATTTAAAATCAACAAATTCATGCAAGGATGTGCAGGAACAACCTCCTGCGTCACGCATACCACAGTGCTTCCCGTAGAGTATTCCCCTGCTCTACTCCGCACAAGGCTTCAATGAAGCCGATCTCTCTCAACGCTTACAATAACAATTGAGTAACCGGATAGCATCTGGCGAATGACAAGGTAACAACCCACGGGCGCATCAAATATTTCTTTTTCCAAGGGGCCTGTTAATGCTCAAAATCCATGATCTATTATTCTATGATGTGGGAACCTTTCAGCATATCTTCACCGCAAACACACAACAGTGCAAAGGTCTCGGTGCCCATCACACGTCACACCTGTTGATATATTAGTTCACCAGGTAAATGACTCTTCTACATACTCAATGTTCTGGTAACCTTGTTGCCTTGCCAGGTGTATTGCCGCACGCGCCTCGTCGGCCATCCCAGTTGGTCCACAAACCAAAATGGCTAACTTCATCCCAGCCGCAGAGGTATCACAGGAATGGCTCAGAATTATCGACTGAAGATTTGGTCGACCCATCTGGACTGTATATCCAACAGCATTCCAATCCTCGCGAAATCTATCCGAGGATCCCGTGGCATAGAAAGAGGCACGAAAGTCTTCCCGGTCAAGCATCTGTTTGAGTTCACGATCGGCAAGGTCACGAAGGAAAGCTGGCTGTCGTGTAGTCCAGACTAATTCGATCTCTCGGGTTTGTAACTTTTCTTCCGATGTGTCTGACCAGTGATTGGTAGACCTTTGGAGATGATCATGAAGATATGGCACCGCGGCGGCAATGCCAGTCCCTCCCACGATGATCAACACTGATTCGTATCTCCAGAGAGGGACGTTGTGTCCATACGGGCCTTCGAGAAGCATAGTGGTGTGAACAGGTTGGTTCGACACACGCAAACATTGCTTGCGAAGCTGTTGCGTCCAGCCATTGTAGGGACGAATCCAGAAGGTCAGCTTTGGGATCAGAGATTGTTGAAATGGCATTTTCCTTCCGCCCAAGCTTCGATGACTAAAAATGGTCTCAGATAGAAGTGGAAGCTGAGAATTATCGATAGAGTCCCAAGGTTTGCCAACGATTTCCAGTGGCGCTCCACGCGGATCCGATTCGTAGCTCCAAGCTCCAACAGTAAACGGATGGTTCTCCCAGCCGGTGAAGCGGAATGGCTGATACAAGAAGTAGTAGTCTCCCGGCCTAGCCTGTAAACCTGGCATTCCTGGGGTGACCTCCAACCGAATGACATCGGCTACTTCGTCGTATGTCATGCGAGACTCTGTGACATTTATGAACTTGCCCTTAGACAGCCTAACGTGGACGTTACAATAAACTAGCCGAACGATCCTCAGACAGCGATCGGTTGCCCAAATTATCACGGATGGCCACAGATACTCCCAATACTCGTGCCCTTCAAAGACAATGGTATGGCTTCGGGTGTCAGCATATACGGATTGGGTCGACATGAGCTGGAGTGGACCCACTAGAAACAGCCAACGAGAGTGATCACAGACAAAAGAATGTGAGCTACCATAAAAAGCTCGTAGGACGCGGCACGCATACGATCCAATGAAGTGATTAAAACCAAAATCATCAGGATAAATGTCTAGAGTTTGTCAGCATTCAGAAGCTAGTAGCCACTGGCCGTGAGAGTCTCACCAAAACCCCCCAGAGGATATAAACTTTGGTGATTTCCTTCCATAATTTGTTGACTACCCCGGTCGCATCGCTTAGTAGTCTGTATTGGGTTGGAATGGCCCTCCCGGCCGTTGGTGCATGGAAATACTATCACTCACCTCGAATATATATCACGAAATATAGGACTGAATGGGCCACTGCTTGAAACGTTGCGATCCGTGCCACATGACGATGAAAGACGTTAAAGGTCGCAAAACTCCACCCAGTGGCCCAGATTAATATGTTATTGCGTCCGGCGAATACAATTAATAGAAGGAAGTTCGCGAATGACATGATTCCGGTCCGATCAGCTGAATAGCGTAGAATCTGACTAGTGACGTCGGGCCAGCTGCAGATCGTTAGAAGAGTAATCATCTCGACACGATCAGGCAGAACATACTAGATATTGCCCTGAAAAGTTCGGTAACCAACCACACTTAGGATAATACTTAGTATCCAAAAGCCTCCCACTGCAAGTGCATCTGCTCGCGATGGGAATGTACAACCAATTAAACGCCGCCCTTGACCAGCAAGCGGGGACAGGATAATCAGATGTGTTAAAATCCAATGAACAACGCATTCCAAAAATGACAGTCGACGCCAGATTGAGCGATATATGGTGGACTCCAGGCCAGACTCGATGTGTTGCTGTCGACCAAGAAGCATCCAACCATATAGGCGATAGAGGACTCCCAGTGATAAAATTCCTGCCCAATAGGCGTACCCAACGTAGCTTATTTGGAAATATCTAAATCAGTTTACCCCGGCAGATGCTCAATGTATTAGAAGTGGGAATCCGTACCTAAAGGCGTGATGTGACCATGTCTCGAATTGCCAAGAGTCCTAGATGTCTGAGGGTTAGCCTCCGTGGGGTTTGCACGGTGGTGTCATACCACTTTCTCTTCGCACATACAATTGTATCGAACATGCGATTGAAATATGATGCAGAAAGAAGAACGGGAGTATTCTGGTAGTTCACCCGTGAGAGCTCCAAATAATCCACAATTCTCATGTTGCGGATGCTCTCCTCGGTAAGATGCTCTGCAACAGCAGCTCTTGACAGTAATTCGCTATGGCCCACCTCCTGACATAGTTTCGCCAACTGTGTTAGTCCAGTACGACGCTCCTCGTCGTGACAATAAATCTCCGATGATGCATAGATAGATGCAACTTTGAATGGGTTCCGACAGCGCGTCTCCCACATTCCCTTCTCGGGGTCTCCCTTAAAAGAGATATAATTGTATGCTGAAAAGATCGCAGTCACACAAAGCTCATCTTTGGAAATAGTCTCCCCCCGAACGCCCCAAGCACCGGGCAAGATGCCTAGCCATCGGAGAGGTTGCATGGTTGTTGCCAGTCTCTGGTAGCTGACCTGCGAGGAAACGCGGCGTGACACAGATGCGAACGAGAGTGGGAGGGGATGGAGGCGGAGCGCCGATGATCACACTGGCGGATGCGGTCCGACTCACCGAGTGAGCATGAGGAAAAATCCCTCTCTAACCAAGGATAATGAGCACGACAAGAGGTATTCCGGGAGAAATGGTAGCCTTAGTGTAAAACAAAGGTCAAGACTGATGTCGCTTTAACATTTGCTGTCCAGTCGAAGGCCCTACAATCAACAACGCTGGGGTTGGACAACAGAAATTGATTGTGGCCGTGGCGCAACAATCGCATCTTATCTGATTGATAATCGCCACGTGATAGGGGTAGGGCAATCCGGACATCCGAGAACCAATCGGAGGATCAAGGTCGTACGGTACCAGTGGCCAGTGGCCAGTGTCACAGTAATCTCGAATATTATTTGGCCTAACTTTCTCCGGCAGAGCATATTATAGTAATAACACAGAAAATACAACCATTTCAAGACAGCTATTTAGAATGAAGAGCGGATTTGCCCTACCACTTGAAACTATTAAGCGATAGGCTCAAGAACATACGTGTTGAACTGTTCTTCTTCTCCTGGATTATATCCCCCGTTCTATAGCCTATCTATGCATCCGGGTGTTAACGAGTTTTTACGGCAGTAAAAAATTTCGCCTTGGCGAATGCCGCATTCCAAGACACCTTTCACACACCAAATTTGCCACCCTCTGGGACCGAGAGATGCGGACATTCCTTCCAATCACAGGTGTTCTAGAAAACAAAATTAGCAAAATGCCACGGAACTTAAAGGAGTGTAGATAGACGTACTTGGTATACCTGTGTTCCCCACCAGCTGAAATGGTCGCTGGCGCCAGTGAAGTAGACAGTCAAGAATATGACCACACCGGCGATTCCTACTGACGAGTCCAACGCGGAGCTGAGCACAAAGTTGTATTTGCTCCACCATCCGTGGACTCGCTTTCGAATAAGCCAACCAAAGGTCAGACCCACAATCGCCCAGCTACCATAGTTCATGCCAGTCGCAGGCGGTAGATAGTTCAAGCCGCCCAGGAACACGGGAATATGGACTCGTTTCCACAGAGAGTTGGGATAGCGGTGACTCAAGAAGTAAACAGGTATTGGAAGAACAGCGCCGATGATAAAGAAGTACAAGAGGGTGTTGTAGCCGATATGGTTTGAGAAATAACGACGTGGGCCGATCGCGCCCCAGATGAGGGAGGTATTGAAATGGGTACTGGAGTATGGGCAGCTGAATCCGTTCACAGCAGCACTCGTGCAGACCCCACTGATATGATTGAGAGCCCAATTGAGAACACCAAGAGATGAAAGAGTTCCAATAATCATGCCCACACATTGCACAAAGAAGAGTTTCCGTTGTGGAATCTTAGTGTTGTAAAATCGTTAGTCGCGGCTATTTAAACTTGGATTTGGCAGGGGGCTTGGAGTCTCTCACATTGCAATAGTATGCAAGCTTCATGTCTTGCGCAAAGTACAGCCCTTTGATGGTGGTGATATACCCAAGATCAAAGAGCCAGATGTTGGCCAGAACTTTACCCTCAAAGACGAATCCGGCGACGATTCTGCAAAAAATATCGATATTTATCTTGAGATTCGATGTTGCGTATACAATTGCCAACTAAAAGAAGAGAATCACGGTTAGGAAGGTAACCATCTCAAAAGGACTCGGTGGAGGTGACATACTGGAGGATAGAAGACGACGGCAACAGCACACGCTAGTAGAACCCCATACCAGCGAAGCTCCACATCCCAGTGCTCAACCGCGAAAATGGCCATTAACAAGGCAAGTCCACAACCAACAAGATACCACCAAATAGGAACATCAGGTGCACCGGTTTCGTCCTGATCTTGGGGGCTGGAATGTCCAGGGAGAGATTCCATAACTAACTTAGGAACCCTCCTGGCGGCATCAGCCATGGCTTGGCGATGTTCCAGAATGACCCAGACGAGAAGGGAACTCAGCGTAGCAAAGGATAACCCAAACATGTTCAGAGCAAACGTGATCGGCATGTAGACCTAGACATCGAATACTTAGTTTCAGAGATTGAAATTTCTATAGAATTCATGAGGTCGACGAACAGGTGAATATGCGAGGTATTTCTGGACATCCAATGTATACCCGGAAGCCTTGTTCACAACCTTGGACGCTTTGTAAACACCACCAGTATTGTCGTAAACTGGCAGGGACATCAGTTCCATGATTGCCACGACGAAAATAGCAACGATTGCCTACTTACCTTTTGAGCTTTGAAAAGAAAGGTAGCCTGTGCTCCACACGTTTGTATAATAACAAGCCACAGCCACGATCCAAATCCAGAACACCAGGGACACGAAGACATTGAGGATCGCCCACGATGGAATCAACAAAGGCGATCCGACATAAGAAATTTGGCTCCCTGTTGGCTTGTCAGTTGATTGTCCCACGGGCGCAACTGATTCCGTACAGTCAAATGTGATTGGGATAAGACCCATGCCAGAACTCATGCCAAATAGCTGATTGACCACAGGGCTTGTCGGATTGATCCAGCAAGGAAAGCTGAAGTAGCTAAGAGCTGGAAAGATAAAGTCTGGAAACCAGTACCAACAAAAGGAGACGCAGCAGGTGAAAGTAAAAAATGCGTAGCGAGATATCTTCCAAGTGTTGTAGCTTTGAGTTTATGTTAGAAGCCACATGCTGGGAGACCTGCGAAAGGAAAGAGAATCGCTAACCTGGCTTGAACTTTATCCTGGTTGATATTGTGCAGGGTAGTTGTGAGAGCAGTGACACCCAGGACACCAGGCCAGATGAGCTTTTTCGGCGCTACAACGATAGCACGAAAAAGGCCCGCCAGACAGAATCCAATCAGGAATGTAGCGAGGGTAACCAGAACTTGGAACCCCCATCCGGCATTATAACCGTAGAACATCTGCTGCTCGGTCAAGACATCGGCTCCCAAGCGAACGTAGATACTGAGATTTGACATGACATAGATGAGGACATGTTCCTGTCGATGGAACTGTTTAGCTGATGAAGGAGATGGCATCTACATCATTCACTCAATGCACTGACCTTGGTATTAAAGGGACCTGGGTTCAGGTTAAAAGAAGAATATCCGAACGGAACGTTCCAACTGGGCACAATCCTTTCCCAAAGCTTTCCCAGCGGGTAGGCCAAAAGAAGCACCACCGAGGATGAGATGGTAAGAGAGGGCGTTCGGAGAGTATATAGCGTATTCAGTCCACTTGCCACGATGCAGAAGCCAATCCCAAGCACCCACATCCGCAAGGTGAGGATTGGCTCGGTCGGGTCATCCTCAGCGATGCCTATGCCGGCCGCTCGGAGGACCTCGGCTTCAGAGTCTGAATCGGCGGCGAGGAATGTTAGAGCATGAGCTAGTGCAGAGCACGAAGGCCCGATGAAGAAATTTCAGAATCACAGAGTTCTGCTTAGCGGTATCAGACTGATGGGCTTCCCGAGCATTTCTTTCTTGTACATCAATCTCCTTGGCTTCTCCCATGATCGCGTGTGGCAGCTTTCAGCGGGCAGGAAGTTGATGGTGGAGGAGATCCAGCAGACGGATCGGATCAGATAATTGTTACGTAGCATCAGATAAGATCTTAAAGGCGATTCAAACTTCTGATCACCGTGTCCAACCGGGTGCCGAGTTAAGCAGCCGAGGCCTGGCCGCGAGTCGTTTTCGCGTTCAGCCCTACCGCGACGGAGATGGAGCACGAAAGCTTCAAAGATGGGTCCACCCACTGGCAACCCATTGGCAGCCCTTTTCACGCCTGCCTGTTCGGTGAAGCCATTTTCGGGATCTCTGCTTATGCGACCATTAGAAATGCGCCAAATTAGGTATCTGCAGACTTCATGCATGCATCGGGATGACTTTCGAGAGAGGGCATGATAATATCCTGCACTGACAGCCTGTCCGATTTGCGCGATGAAGAAAAAAGGGTCCTTGGAAGAAAAATTCCAACTTCCCTTCCTCCGACGCGCAGGACCGACAGTATCCACCTGGTGGACCCCAACGCGCGATTTATTCCGAGAAAGAGGCATAGAGACGAAAGATCTGGAGGCCAAAAGATGCAAGACTCGTCGATTTTGACACATATGAATCTCAATTTTATGCCGACGCCCATACCAGAAAGCATTATCATGACACATAAAGAGGTGGATGGAAACAAGTGCCCGAAAGGTACCAATATCAAAGCAGGAAGGAGAAAGAGAGAAGTGGACCAAGATGATTCTCTACAGCATGGTCACGATCGCGAGCACGCAGTGTAAACAGTACACTGCGCTGGATGCTGTATAGGAGGAGAACCCATCCACATCCGCGGAGATAGTCTGGTCATGATGGAGTGAATAGTCACCGCAAACGACTAAGTGACCAGTAGATCCTCTTCTTCCACAGAGACCTGAATTTTCATGCCCCATCCATCTCTCCCCCCAATCCAGTTCTTACGTTTCCCTACCTTCTTAAGCTTCCGCGAGTCTCGCTCCAATTCCTCCTTCAGACGGGTTGGATCGTATGCAACTTTTGAATTGCAATCTTCAACTTGATCCCCTCCTTCTTCCCCTTCTTCCCCAGCCCAGTCACCCACTCTGCAGAGGGAACAATCCGGGGCTTGGATGTATCAATCGAACCAGTGAGATATAGTTGACCAAGGATCAGGCCAAATTTGCCAAGGTATCGCGTCCACCAAACTTCCTCTGGAGAGAGAAGTCCCTGTAAATGAGACTTTAAGTCCACATCGCGTGGTGGGAGTTCTCCACCGTAGCGCTCTTGGAGCATGAGGGCCAAAAGCGCCCGGTGAGAGTGAGGGATTCCATGGGCCGAGGCGAGAATGCCAGTGCTTGTACTGTAGAGGGCCGCACTAGAGGAGAGTTCTTTGGCCATTGAAGCATGTACATAGAGGGCATTCGCAAATGCCTGGACCACATGCACGCTGATCGTGGATGGAACCGAGCGCGAGCCCGTCGGTCGGGGCAGAGAAGCCAGCATCAATGCAGCGATGGCTTGTGCCGATGAAGGCGCATATCGAGCGGTCGCAACCTCGAGCGGATCTTGTTGACGGACCACCGGCAGCATTTCGCGAAACAGAACACCCTCTCGCACGCCCCCTTGGCAAAAATGCGCTTCTTTGATCCCATGCGGCAATGACTCGGCAAGTACGTTGACCAGGAACGCAACCGAAGGCACCTGCTTGCGGCGCCGATCAGAAACCCGGAAAATCTCGTCTGCTTTGCGAGCCACTTCCTTCAGGGCATCGGTGTTCTCAAAGTCGGCTTTGGGTGCAGTGTACCCGTTGATGATGGAAATGGGATAATTTTGGCCTCGGGTTTGATGCAGGTAGAGCAGTAGATAGCCCCATCCACGAAACCCACCACCGGACAGGTACAAGGGGAAACCACCTTGCTCGCGTGCTTTCTTTACAAGACTTTCGGGAACTTCGAGACGCTCGAAGGCTGTGCGGAAGTTGTGAGCCATCTCGCGACGGAACTCTTCCCTTGCCTTTTTAGCATCGTCTTCGCTTTTCCCCCGCTTCAAGTCGGCCAGTTTCTGGGTTAATGCGGCCGCTCCGTATGGGAAGCTCACCGCACCTTGGGGGCTAATGCGCACATTGCCTGCGTGCGAGATGATCCAGGTCATCTGCATACTTCCACCCCCGAGGTCCAGAGCCAACCCTTCCACGTCGGAAAAGCTACTCGCAATACCCCAAGCACCAATGATCCCCTCATCCTCCTTTCGCAGAAGCTCCACCTCGATGCCCGTTTTGCGGTAGATCGCGTTGGTAAACACCTCAGAATTGAGCGCCGTTCGCGTTGCTTCGGTCGCGATAATGCGTATGTTCGACGCCGGTACACCAATCTCAACGCAGATGATTTGGAACCGGACAATAGCGCTGACCACGCGGTCGATCACATGTTGGGAAATGGGGATGCGAGTGCCGGTCGCGGGGTCGATTTGTGCCTCGTAGAGGGAGATATTGACGCGATGGAAGTGGACCGTGGGAATGATGCGAGTAGTTGGAGAGGTAAGATCGGAAATCGAGCATCGAATACCATTACTGTTGTTGGAGGGAGAGAGATAGACGAGTCAACGAGGGGATTCACGGACTGGGTTCGCGCTCTTGAACCGGCGTACCTGCCCATATCGACCACCGCGTGTAGATAGTCATTCTGACCTGGTTGCAGGGACGTGGTTAGCTTTCCGTGGGAGCTTCCCTCCAAAGGAAACTGGCTTCCACCCCCCATTGCGGATTCGTGGGAAAGTTTTGTCTTGTCAATTCTTCTGTGGTCGGCTCGTGAGTCGTCAGTCGTGAGACTGTCCGAGAGCCAAAAGGAAGGTTGGTGACATCACCAGAGAACGGGCCCGTCACCGTTGCCGATCATGACACACGACTTCACCGCCTCTAAAGATTCTGCTAATCACCATTCACGACAACTATATATCCCATCCCAATAATCGGATAAATTCCGAGTCAAGCCAGGGATACTACGCGAAACGCTAGGTATTTACTCCCAGGGACCCTAAAATAGTAAGGCAACTTGACGACAAGTCCTTCAAAAGAGAGGCTGATACATGGAATCTGCATATGCGTGAGATATGCGACCTATAACGGCTACAACTAGCAGGTCACCCAAACTCCAGACCACTCAGATGGTCGCATTTCATTCGACCTGAATCACGCTTGGCTTTTCCGACCAGTACACTGAAGCCACGCTCGAACCAACGGCATGTTCACCGTTAGGTAGACCATCGTTCACACTTTAACTGGACCGACAGCCGTGTTGAAAAAGTCAGTGATGACTCTGGTGCGAAGACCGGGCGAAAAGTAGTCGTATCCAACAAGTACACCGCAAGAGTCAACGAAAACAGTTATCGGAATCGATGAGTATAGGATATTCCACTTGAGTCTATCAGTATTCGTCGTATCGAAAGAGGTAGCTTGGAACTGACAGATGCAACATGTTTATCGAGCAAATTCCTCTTCACAAGTCCACCGAATACGGCTGCTCCTTGAATCAAGAAGTCTTCGGTGAATAGAGGATAATTGGACATGACATAGCCAGTCCACACGTTGGGCTGTGCAACGCCTACCTCATAGGATGTCAGGTTGTTGAAGACCAAACCATCCTTGGTAGTCTTAGAATAGTCGAAGATCGAAGAAGCCAGAGCCCCGTCGTAGGCCTCATCTGCACGAACGAGGTTCTGGGAGGGAGAAAAGTAAATGTAGCCCGACATGATATGGGATAGATTGTTATTCCTTCAATGTATTAGTAGAAGTGTGTGGAAATATCAAGATAGATTTGTATACCATTTGTGCTGAATGAAGCTGGTTTTGAATTCAGGTTTTACCAGCGGCGGCTGTGGTTGCTGAAAGCTGCCGCTGAATTCAAGCATTGATGCAGGAAAGTCATTGCACGACGAATCTTTCGGCTGCACCGAGGTGGCCAGGGCCAGCAGAGAGAAAGAGAGAGTCCAAAGGAGATTCATCGAGAATGGGTGATAGTGGTAGATAAGATGTCAGTCGAATGTGCGAGAATTTTTGGTTTTCGAAGATGTGACAAGAGACATCTCCTCTTTATATACATTTGATACGATATCTCTTTCAATAGACTGACATTATCCAGCTTGATGGAATGAACATACTGCGCGGGCATAGGTCAGTCGCAGATGCCTAAATTGTGTGGGGCTCTAGGTGTTGCGCTCGATTATAACCCAATTGGGAAATGCTTCTTGGCACAATGCGGAATAGTTTCTATTCCACTCCTTCTAACGGAGAGTCTAATCTCCCTTTCCAATCCCAAAGTAGATGAAGATCATCTTTGATCCTAGCCGCAACAATAAATCCCCGCTTGAAAATAGAATCCAGCAGAGCCTGAACCGTGGCTTTTTGGATGTCAGTTTCTGCGCGTGTTCCAGCGACTCGAAGCGGGAGAATCAACAATAGACCACATCCACCTGGAGTATCGAGTATAATTTCAGCTCGTTGAAGGATTTGGTTAACGTGGTGATTTATCTCACACCTTGATAGGTATGGAGAATGATCTAGATGCCAACAATGATAATAATCAAATGTGTTGAATAGATCGAGTAGGATTGCGTGGTAGTATGAAAGTGCTTGGTGGAAAGGCAAACTTTTGGACCTTTCGGGATCTGTGTTTTGAAGTTCGCTATATAGCTTGTATATATCGTTCTGAATTTCTGCGGCTTCAACGCCAAATTGATCCAAGGTCGGATCGGGGATGTCGAAACTCATAACGCTTGAAACATATCCGTAGAATCTGAAGGAGGACATGAGTAAAACAGAGAATCAGTTGCAGTTTTACTTGCATACCGAGTATTAAAGGTAGATATTTCGGCCATTATTGAAGGGATTCGGCCCAGACTATCCCATTTACTCACGGGTGTCTGGTCGTCCATTTGGTACGTCGGGGCCCACTCGAGGCTGGATAGAATTGTGCCTTCTCCATAGAGTATTGCTCGATTTGCCTCAAACATCCTGAAGATACCCAGAAAAGCCTTTCGTGGGCGGGATATTGTGGTTGTTGCCCCTGCGCCCTGCAACAGTCGAGATGTTCCATGTAACATATGTTTTGCCCACCCATCTCCCGATGGATCGGCCATAAGCTGTCAGCCTGAGTTAGTATATCTGTCAAGTCATTTTTAGATTAGAAGAGATATACCTCGAATAAGCCTAGGAAAAAAGTAGCCCAAAGAATATCGTCTCGCAAAGAGACCTCCGATTCCAGCAATACAGTTTTTAATAACTCGATCGAACGGGAGTATGACTTGTAAGCCAAGAACCGAGGAGATTCGGTTTCAACATAATTTGCACAATAGCCATGGCGTGAAGCATCCAGGGCACCTATTGCACTGACTACGGAGCTCAATAGCGCGGATTCGCTCACCAAGGGTAGGAGGACCTCGACCAACACGTCTGTATGGTGGACGAGGTGATTGCGATATAGAAAGGCGAAGAAGCAATCCAGATGGATAGTCCTCGTGTCTGCTGCCAGTGTTGCAGGTATCAATTTGCGCAATGTACATTCAGTTTCCTTGTAAAAGACGTAGACTGCCTTTAACTCTTCACTCATCTGTTTTCGGCAAATCTTACCCGTACGAATACACGATTCACAGGGAATTCCACCTACACACTGCTCTACTATATTAGCAATGACACATGTTACACGGACCATATAGAGAAAGTACCCTGATTTTTCTGGTAGCACAAGATTCACATCGTGTGACCTTCTTGCGCCGGTCGAGAGGACCCAGTGCGCGTTTTGGTGGCATTTCGGCGCCTGCATTCAAGGTCGGGTGTTCGAAGGCTCGACAGCTGCCCCTGAACGTGGATGGATGAGTGCCAAGTCAAATCTCTGTCACAGTGTTGAAGAATTCTAGGGCTCTTGGCATCGGGTTGATCCTAGGCAGCCGCCTTCTCATAAACCTTGGACACTAGGCCTATTCGGGAAGTAATCAAGCGCAGGCGGCACGACGGTTAATTCACCAGCAAACTATCCAAGGATTACCCAGAATTACAGGAAACACGAATTGCGCTAAGGAAATCACTGGGAAACCAGATGAATCATAATTGAGGGCCTGATTGATTGATGAATCGGCTATGATGGCGGGTAGGCCGAAATACTTGAGATACTAGTAGGAACATCTTTGGAAGATTAAATTTCTGATTGGTAGACCTGAATGGCTATGCAAGTACTAAGTAATCTCAAGCTAATTCGGGGTTTACATCTAGCGCCTTTAACCAATGAAAGGTCATATGAGTCGTTGATAGGTAATTTCCGAGCCCTTCTTCCCCGACAGGCGCATAACCAACTCCCCGTCAATTTGGAGCTAGGCCGAATGGGGAAATGATCAAGCGCGGGCCATGACCAATACTATTCATAGAATCTATTACTATATTATGATCCGAGCCAGAACGAGTGGAAACACCTTCAGGGTAGCATTCTACATTGGTACTCAATCATCCATGGATGTAGTTGCTGAATTCGGTTGCCTAAGGGTGCAACTGTAGGTATTGACGAAATAGGAAGCAAATTTTCATCAAGCTTCGAGATATGAAGGTCTAGATAACCCGAACAAATGATCTGCCCACCAACACTCCCCCGATTTATCTCACCAAACTCTCGAGAACCCTCACTTTCGAGCACCAACCTATCGTCATGTCCAACAACACACAAGCCTATATTCCATGCACGTTAGACACTTGCCCAATATCCTGGTCTACAATTGGATATCAGCCAAATCTGTGCGGAAATGCGTTATTTCTGGCAATATTTGCAGTTGCGTTGTTTGTACAACTTGCGATAGGCGTCCGTTATAAAACCTGGAGCTACCTTGTGGGCATGGGAGGAGGCCTTGTCCTCGAGATAGTTGGCTACGCGGGTCGAATCCAGTTGCATGTCAATCCATTTGTGTTCAACTCTTTCATACAGTGAGTTCAGATAATGTATAAGGAGTACTGCCCAGGCTCCCATGCCAAATATGCAGCTATCCTAACTCGATGACAAGATATCTAGTTTGTTTGACAATTGCTCCAGCATTCATGAGCGCTGTGGTGTATATTTGTTTTTACCGTATCATCATCGTCTACGACAGCTCGCTCTCGAGGATCAAACCAAGGGCATTTGTGGTGACTTTCATCGCTAGTGATGTTTTGTGTCTGATTCTTCAGGCTGCCGGAGGAGCAATTACGGCCACTACAGGTGGATCAAGCGATGGAGCAGAGGCCATGCGCAATACTGGTGTCAATGTGATGATTGCTGGCCTGGCTCTTCAAGTTGTTTCGCTTGTGTTTTTCCTTGCTTGTGCATTGGACTATACATATCGCGTGAGTCAAAAGGGCTTCTTCCCGGCTACGGCTGCTATGCAAAGCAGACGTTGGAAAGGTTTCTTGATTAGTGAGTATCCTAGGACTCGAGGCCTGCGAGTAGTAGCTGACGCATTTGCCATAATAGGCCTGACAATAGCAACAATTGCGATATTTATCAGATCTGTGTTCCGAGTAGCGGAACTTCGGGATGGGTTTTCAAGCGAGCTCGCTGGAAACGAAGTTGCTTTCATGATTCTGGAAGGAGCGATGATAGTAGTAGCGACGATCTGCTTGACTGTATTTCATCCCGGCTATTGCCTTGGTGTTTCGTGGAAAGTGTCAACCTAACGAGGGATAGTTGCGGTCCCGGTTGGGCCTTTTGAGGTTGGTACACCACAAGGTTGGCATGAACGCTGATAGTCGTAGCGTTCGTTGGTTTTTGAAAATTTTGGTAATAAAACGGTAATGGAATTGCAAGAGTCTCTTAGAGCTGTTGCTAGGCCGTCACTTGAACGCCACTTCTTTCTTTAGCGCCTATCTGCTAGACTTCATTTATGGACATGCTGAAGATACTTGATTCTCTGCAGAAGCGCCACTAGCAGTATATTGCCCTTATGTCGTGGAGTGTATTCAAGTTATTGAAAATAGTGTAAGCAAAAAGAACAGTTTGATTCTATCGCTCAAAACGACTCAAAGTGTGATTAAAAGTCTAACCACCTATCTGAGGACCTGTTGATGAACAGGTTTGTGGAAATGACTGGATCTGAGAGTCGAATGCTACGCGTAGCCTCATCAGCAAGACTTCGCCCCTGGAGTATGAAGGATATGAGCTACTTCTCATTCAATGGCTTTGGTGTCCGACATGACGGGCTCATCCTGAATGCCCCATTCAATGTTTGTATACCCGTTAGCTGTCAGATAGTCCTTCCAGTCCTGATCGCCATGATCCAGGAACTTATTAGAGTCCTCAAGTACGAACCAAGCCAGACAAGCTCCTAAAACGGCAAATCCCGATCCAATTAGGAACACCGCCTGGGTACCGTGGAGCTCATCATCACCCCAGGTGGCTAGAATAGGCTTGAATACCTGAGTCCCAATAGCGGCACCGGCCTTGCTCCAAGCCGCTGCAAAACCAACCCCATGGCCACGAAGAGCGGTTGGAAAGCTTTCGCTAGCTGTAAGGACAATGGTAGCCCCTGGGCCAACTTCACCAAGAGTAAGAAAGATTCCATACAAGATGATGAAAAGTGGCAGCTTGGTTTGAATTGGCCCTAGAGCTCCACCCAGAATAAAGCCCAGTATAGCCTGAAGGAAGAAGCCAAGAGCCATGGTGCGTCGCCGGCCGATTCGATCGGACAATAGACCGCCAATGAATGCCCCTGGAATATAGAAGCAATTGATTAATGTTCCCCATGCCATAGTGAGAGCAAGCGATGAGGAAGGGTTGACTCTGCCAACGATGGTCGAAGAGAAAAGCCCAAATGGATAGGAAATGTAGTTGTAGCTGTGCGGCCAATCTCAATTAGCCTACGATATTCCCGTTGATTAGTGAAACACTTACATGAACCACGAACCGCACACTCCGAGAAGTGACCGCCAGTACTTTTTGATAGCCAGCCAGTATGGGATCGGCTGCTTCTTCATCGAGCTCTTCCGATATGCAGAACTCACGACCATTCGATATCGAAACCAGAAAATTGAGAGGGGAGCGATGGCGCCCATCGCGAGAGAGACCCGCCACACTGCTTCGTAGTGTCTAACTTGTTGGTGAAAGCACAGAAGGAGGATCAATGGCACTAATGCACCGAAGGCGAATCCTAGGGAGGCAGAGAGATCTCCAATCATGGCGAAAATGAAACCTCTACGCTTGCGAACACTCGGAGCTTCATCGGTTGCTTCCGCAGCACCTGCGCCGGCGACTGGATACTCTCTGGAAATCGTCAGATGAAAATAATGATTAGATTGATGGTTTTTTTTTTTAAAAGAAAAGATAGCTTACCCTCCTGCACCAACTCCTGCGATGCCTCTGGCAACGATTAACATCCAGAACATCCCGTCGTCCGTGAGACCACTGGCCCCTGCACTGAGTGCGATGCCCAGGACCAGAATGGCGGTTGTAAGTACAGCACCTGTTTTGCGACCTAGCTTATCCGAGATATAGCCAAATAACAACATGCCAATGATCATGCCAACCATAAAGGCATTTGACAAACGAGCGGCGACCGTGGTAGTCAGCGCTTGTGGATAGATAACTTCCATAAGTAGTTCTATATTACCGATGATTGACGCATTGAAGCCATCTGAGCCAATTGCCAGACCACTGAAGACGACCATCATCACCATTGACACGCGGGAGTAACCCCGACCGGATTCTTTGACCATCGCATCGGGATGGATCGCACTGGGAGTTTGTGCGTCTGGGGTCGCTGCGTCCGGGGAGTCTGGTTTGCTCGATAAGGTTGTTTTGGGCTCTGCTGCCTCTGCTGTAGCGGATTGCTGTTCATGCAAATGGTGAACTTCAACTACTGGAGATTCGCTCATCTTGGTTTCGTTGCATTGAGCTCTTTTCCCACTATGTCATGATAAGAGATGGCCTACAGGTGCTGTTTCGCCCTTTATACCAAGCCACTCCATCGGACACATTCCGCGTGGACTATACTTCTCGGATATGGGGTCTTGATTTGGCCAAGATTGCTTATGGCTATTGAACCAATCAATTGATGTGCGGGGTTGGGATAGGTCGGATATCTGTAATTGTTGTGGAGACTAAGACGGGCGAGGCACAGGACAGGCTGGAATCTGAAGCTAGTCAGCCCCACGGACTCACTAAGAAGCCACTTAGGTAGTCCACCCGCCATGGGCGGGACAAGCGGGGAAGGTAAGAACGAGATAACACTACATAGGCACTACTTTCCCGAATAATGCCCCTGGTAGAAATGTACCAAGGGGCTGGATGAACATGCCGGGATTGTTGAATCTTTCCTTTCCCATCCTCCACTGACCAGAAGCCATTGATTTGTATACACGGGAGACTATGTCGAAGCAATTGCCGAACGCTCAAAGAGATGTCGAAGCCCTTGTTCTTCCATCCAAATGCCACGATACTGGACGGTTTTCTCTCCGAACGCTGGTGCAGTTTATTGCCACTGTTGGCTTGCTGGCCACCGGGTACCAGTACATTTGGCCCCAGTCTCTTGCACCTTCTGACGGCGAAGTGATCACCAAAGAACAGCGGTTGGAAGAGTTTCAACGATGCGCCATCAAGAACCTATTAGATACCGGCTTGCCGTTCCTAGAAAAGGCTTCCCCAATCGCAGTTCCTGATTTCCAGGAGCGGCGAGATCGATTAGCGGAAGCGCTGGTGGCCGAGGACGTCGATGCTTTCGTAGTGGAACCTGGCTACACCTTCAAGTATTATGGCAATGTTAGCCAGCCAGAATGGGAGGTTTGGGAGGTCAGTCACCCTTCCAGTTTAAAAACTCGAGCAGTATAGCGACCAACAATACTGATGAAGTATAGCCGGAAGAGCGCCCGTTCCTGATGGTTGTTCGTCCCGTCTTGGATCAGGCGACAAGCCAAGTAAGGGCAAACACAACGTTCCTCTGTCCATCCTTTGAAGCCGAGCGAGCCCGTCTGTTAGATATGCCTTTTACTGAAGAGATCCAAATTGTCCCTTGGGAGGAGCATTGGGACCCGTACAGCACTCTTCAGCAGTCAGACGTATTCCTTGGTGTTAGTCGTGTGCCACGCTTAATGGTCGACGAGGAAATGCGAGACTTCATTCAACGAGGACTGGGATCTGCGGGATTTGAGGTAGTTGGCCTGCGCGGTCAAGTCGAAGAGGTGCGGCAGATCAAGACTGCGCATGAGGTCGAGATTCTCCGTGCAGTCAATACGGGTACCGTTGAAGCCGTCCGAGAGATGAGAAAATGCGAGTCAAAGGGCAACTCAGCAAGATGGTTCAATGATGTATTTTCTGACAAAGTCATCAGGTCTCTATCCCGGATTGACCGAGAATGAAATAGCCACCGTGCTTGACAACGCCCTTCGAGCAGCTGGAATGGAGCCATTCTTCGACATCGTGCTCTTTGGTTCGTCACATCCTGCCCACGAGACATACGATACCTTTACTAACGTGTCAAAGATGAGAATGCATCAAACCCCCATGGCGGAACGGATGGAGAAAAGGTTCTGGAGCCAGAAACATTTGTCCTGATTGATGTCGGGTCTGTTTTCCCTAGAAGGTTGTGTTCACACCATACTCATTGTCTGACCCATCTTGCAGTGCTCATCTCTACGGGTATTCTTCGGATATTTGCCGTACTTTCTTCCCTCCGTTTCTCGAGAAGCCTTCAAAGAGTGCCCCCTTGTCGCCAAATTTGAAGGAGAAGCTCAAGGTACGTCTGAATTTCCTGATAAAGCAGCAGACACTAGATTAAGATATTGCTAGGTTTGGGATGTTGTATTTGAGGCGCAAACACAGTCGATCCATCATATGAAAGAAAATCTCACGGCGGCAAGTGTCGATATTGCTGCCCGAGATATCATTACCAAGGCTGGTTATGGCGGAACTTTCACACATCGGGTTGGTCATGGAATTGGCATCAAAGGTACGTATGCCTGAACTTGTGCCTCGAGGTTATGATTCGCGAGGTTATGTGAACGCATTTTGACTCGTCGAGTAGCCCACGAAAGTCCATATCTCAATAAAGGCAATTTCAACACTCTGCTCAAAACAGGCATGGCGTTCACATCCGAACCCGGTATTTACTTGGTTGATAAATTCGGTGTGCGACATGAGGACATACTGCTTGTTCAGGGCAACGAAGAGCCACAGCTTCTGACAGGTAGCAGAGCCCAGGGACCTTGGGACCCTTGAAGACCACAACTTCAGTCTGGAAATCAAATTCTCTTACGATCATACCTAGGCTTTGTGAATCGAGGTGGACAATTCTAATAGGTGGCCACCACTTCGTGAAATTCCCCTCGGAGGGAAGGTTTTTGTGTTTGGGCATGTTGAAATAACAATATATATATGTATGGAGGGCGAAAGCCACGTAGCTGTCCTTCGAGCAAAGTTCGGGACGATAGGCAAGCAATATATGACACTTCATTTGACTTCCAGCCGCAGCGCATCATATTGCACGTATACAGTTCCAGGCAAGATAGCCGTTTCCGTGTCGGTTGCGTTGAAAGGGAGATGGAGTCGCAGCAGGTTGTCTCCCTCGTGGAGCCAATTTGCGGGGAACGACATACGGGAGCTAACCTGATAGCAACTAACGGCAGACCGGACAATGCAGCTGCTGGATTGATTGAATCCAATCACCAGGGTCAGAGGATCGGAGTGGTCGTTGATATAACTCTCAAGAGATAGATTATTGTAGGTTTCCTAGGACGCGTTCCATTAGCATGGGCGCTGAAAAGGACACATCGAGAAACCACCGATAGCTGATCCAGACTTACCGCAGGATTCCAGACATCTGTGTTGCCAGCTGCTGTCTTTGCACCGGCTAACTGCACAGTAAGAGTTGCCGTTTTCCGCTGGCGTAGTTGCTTTGCGTCCAGTTTGAAGTGGATATTCCAGTCATAGGTGGTATCGTACTCGACATGGGGGTTCGATGGGGTTGGACCGAATACTGACCAGTGGACTGTATTCAGGTCTATAGCCGGATCACTCTTGCCGATGGTGTAGTTAATGCCGTCAGGGAAGTCATGGGTCCAGTCATAAGCACCCCAATAGATCATATACTCGGGGGGCTGAAGGGGATGTGTGGTGTCCTTGGCACGTCCGTGGCGAAATTCGCCTGAAGATTTGTCTGGGATTCCAAGTCGCCAGACCTCCGTTCCCGCGGATTCTTCTTCCCAGTTATCGCGGACTGTGGTTGATTTTCCTGCACGCACAACGATGCCGTCGCGGATAAAATCGCCGAAAATCCCTTCCGCGTAAATGGTAAGACGATACTTTCCCTCCTTTACGCGGTCCAGGGCGAAGCTCCCATCTGATCCGATGTCAACCCAGTACTGGTAAGCGTCCGCAACGGCGCTGTTGTCTTGGTGGTAAACGCCATTGGCAGTTAGAATGGCAATAGGTCGGACAGCACCCTTGGGAAGCTTCACAGTTCCCCGAACCCTTCCTCGTTGGCCCGATGGGACATAACCCACAACGTGCTTCGCAATAGAGTCATAGAATGCAGCATTCCATTCCGGCTTTGCCAGCTCTAGAGCTTCAGCGCGCAGCTCATTCAGCGAATGAGATCCCTTGCCGCCATTGAAGAAGTAGAATTGAGGTCCGAAGGTTCGGTCAAATCCATTTGTGATGTTTGGAGTTCCTTCACCATGATGATTGGAAACGAGATAGTTGTAGACGATTCCGTCCACAGTCAAGTCCGAATGGATTGGGCCCTGTTATTGGTGAGATTCTGAATTTACCGAGAATAGAGAATGATAGACCTACTCCATAATATGTATCCTACCCCAGGCGCTCTTAGTCAAGCTCAAATTATCGCGTATTGCCAGGGAACCACTCACCTTGGTGTTCATGACAAGCCATGCTCCGTATGTAGTTCCAGAAGAATTGGTGCCATCGGCGTACAGACCGTGGACGCTGTTATTCCTCCAAGCTAGCAGGATGTCAATGAACGGTCCGATTTCGATAGCGCACAAGATGGCGATGAGCGTGCTTACGATTTGAAAAGGTGTATTTTGTGAAATAGTCGGAGAACTGCGTGTAGTAGGCGTCGGTTGTGGTGTTGTTGAAGGTCCAGGTAGCATCCTGGACGACAACTTCGTGGCTGACGGCATCCTTGCTTGGCAGAGGGGCGGTTTGCACATCGCTCGAAGTCAAATGGGTCCACAAGGCTGTATTTGGACGGAACAGGGTCCGAAGCTCCTGTAGGTTACGAAGGAACGGTGTAGTCTCGTTGTAATAGGACAGCCGGCTAAACATGTGAAGGCCGGTCTCACCATCACGCAAGAACCAGTATTGCTGGAATTGCTGCCCCGTCGGAGTGTAGGTGTCGGTCAGAATCATACCAGCGTACTTGGTTCCCGTGGAATCGACTCCTTGCACAACCTCCGTTGACGGAGTGGTGGCACCTGCGGTGTAGGAACCGGACGGGATACAATAACAATCCAAGTATGGACCTATACCTGTTGACCCCGCCTGGGGCCCCAGAAGATCCTGGCCATCAAGGGACAGGTCAACAATCTGACCAGCGCTTCTGCGCAGCACCGCTGTGAGACGATCATTGGCAACGGTGATAGTGGTATCGTTTTGCGAAACGTGGAGTGCGGCCGATACAAGACTCGCTCCCGTCGCGAGAAGGGTCAGAAACTTCGCCATTCTCCCCGCACAATATCCTCTGTTCTAAAGGGGTTCCTTTTTGTTTGCCCACGCAAACAGATTGAATGAGAGCCTGGCATCTTGGCGATGTGAGGTGTGCGCTTTATGTCTTGTATGGATGGCTTCGGGGCTTGATATGCCGAATGGCCTCCGTCGAGAAACTCAAGGCGCTCGATCGGAGGCTCGCGTCAAGGATTCATTTATGTAAATCCACCAATCATCCGTTGCCAGTCGTTGCCAATGAATTAAAAACATGGGGGTGGATGTGTCTTGGCATGCGGGGGTCGACCTCGTTAAGGAGCCATGAAGATGCTCATCAGCCACGAGAGATGAATTGACGAAGTCTGGGGGTTCGGCAGGAGGAGAGCCGCGATGGATTATTGACGAGCTCGGCCATTGTTCACCCGAGTTGCTCAGAGAGGCTGAATTTCAGACTTCTCACCTTGGTGATTGTGTGAGAACCCACGTCTGCCGAGAATGTCGCCTTCAACTCCAATGCTTGAGCAAGCAGTACATTGTTCGAGCGAACAAGGATGCATATCCGGGTCAATTGAGTCGGCAGGTCTCCCGTGAAGGAAAAAGAAACAAGATCACAGAGAGACAACCCGTTTTTTACGTGGTGTCGTCGTTGAATCTTGTTCAAGCCTCCACGCCTTCGTCAGGCCGGAAGGTGGGAACTTGGAGACCCCACACAAACACTGAGTGCCTCAGGCATAACTTTACTGTCGGAACAGCAGGATGGGTGGATCCCCAGGGAAAAGGAAATACTAAACACCCGCCTAGCTTAGTCATGTTTTTGCCCATACAAATTGTTAGCAAAGGGGCATCGTAGCAATTCAGACCTGTTGAGATCCAATTGGCGCGCGGTATGATTGACTAAGCAGTATTCGCGACTTTTACTCCAGGCACTCAGGCACTCAGGCATCCAATCCCCCCACATTCACTCTTGTCTCTGGCTGCGCTTGCACCTCAACACCTGTACAATGAGGGCCAAGGCTTTTGGATTCGGGAAGCCAGACCTCCAGATGTGCTATTGACGCCTCCACACCTCGTCCTTTTTGTCGAAAGACCGTCAATTCTTATATTGATCAGTAGCCAGGACTTCAACCAAGAGACGCTCGCTTTTCCCAACTGGCAGTTGCTTCGAAAGACGAGTCCCCTGTGGCGCTGTCAAGCCTTTGCAGCAAGCTTTACAACCGCCTCAAGCTTCATTATAGTGAAACTATACATGGATAAAGTGACCAGGAAACAACTGCCACCGTGTATAGCCGATCTGACCGTGATCGGGCCGCGACCGGTCTGGAGCTGCAATTTGTTTACAATTGCTGGCGAAGGTGATGCTTCGGAATCCATCCCGCAGGATGCCGCAGATCGGCCGGGATCGCCTCCGAATCTCCCTTTCGCCTCTACCGAGCGACGTCCACACCTCGGGTCACAGCTAATCAAAATCCTCTGCCCAGAGTGATGATGGTCGGAACCGGCATTGAAATCGCGGAATTAGCCATGGTCGGCGCTCTGGGATAGAGGCACCCACGCTGAAGACCCAATCACAGTCGCAACAAGAACAAGGTCCACAGCGCCAGTGCCACACACCCCATCTTCACCCCGTGAGAATGATACAGAGATGCCCCATGGGGTACGGGGTGTGAAAGGGTCCACCAGAGAGGGATCTGTACGATTTAAAACCCTCCACGATACCCTCTTCCCCTGTCTCTCCACCGGAGAAAAAACCATCTTCCAAGTCCATCCTATCAATATCTCCTTCTCTCGTGCTCCGCACTCTCAGTTTCGACTTTCAGGGAGCTCGATCTGCTTCTTCTGCCACTCCCTATGATGGCTGGTGCTACTGGACCTGAAGTCATGGCAGGAACCCCTTTGGATCACAATCTCAAGACTATCAACTCAGAGACTTCTGTTCATCTCGAGGATGTGTCCCCAAGCCCACCAATCCACCTGTCAGAGGATGGCGATTACCCCATTCATTCAGTTCAGGATCCCCGAAACTGGCCTCAATGGAAGAAGAATGCCCAAATCCTCATGGTGGCCTTCCATTCATGTGTGTCAACATTCATGGCGGCAGGAATTATCCCAGCCTACGACATGTTTGCAGAGCAATACGGGATTACAGTGCCCGATGCAAGCTACCTCACTTCGTTCCAAGTAAGTGACACATCGAATATCGCACAGGATGACAAATGAACGAAAGGATGGGCTAACATAGACGATCACTAGATTCTGCTTCTTGGTCTTTCCCCCCTTCTTTGGAATCCAGTGACAGCTGTCTACGGCCGCTACCACGTCAGCATGCTTTCAGTCTTGGGCAGCATGGTGTGCAATATTGGCGGCGCCAGATGCACCACGTACGGAGGCCAAATGGCTACTCGGGTCTTAACCGCGTTCTTGATCTCTCCCCCTATCGGAAACGGCAGTGGTGTCGTCACCGATCTCTGTGAGCCTGAAAAACGCGCGCAGAAATTGGGATGGTGGACTTTGATGACTACAATTGGTACACCATTGGGACCTTTCCTCATGGGGTTCGTGACCAAACATCTTGGTATTCAATGGATCTTTTGGATTTTCGCCATCATCAACTTCTGTCAGTTCCTTCTGTATGTTGCAATCGGCGATGAGACAATCTACGATGCTGCAAATGAACGCAAACCGGGATTCTTTGGAAAGTTCACCCCCCGCAAGATCACCTCGCACTCATTGAGCCCGCGGGACTTCGTAGCACCATTCTCCCTGGCAATGACCCCCGCGTGTTGATTGCCGCTTGCGCTCACGCAATCACGTTCTGCTACGCAAATATCGCCATGATTGTGGAGATGCCCATTGCATTTGGACAGAAATTCCACTTCGATGCGCAACAAATTGGCCTGCAGTTCATTGCAATCATTATTGGATGCGTCCTTGGTGAACAGGTCAGTGGGCCGGTGTGTGATTGGTTTGTGAAGCGTGTTGGTAAATCACGAGGGTACTCATGCCCGGCCGATCGTCTCTGGCTGTCCTACATCGCCTTCAGCACCATCTTCGCTGGCTTGTTGACCTGGGGTTTCCAACTGCAACATGCTACGACATGGAATGTCACGCCGTGTGTCGGAGCTGCTATCGCTAGCTTTGGCAACCAAATGCAGACCACAATCTTGACAACATTCGCCGTTGAAAGCAAGAAGGAGCGCTCCGCTGAGGTTGGCGTCTTCGTCAACGTCTGCCGCCAGATTTATGGATTTGTAAGTTTCAGTCTCCTTACCATTCTCCAAGTCACTTTCCCGAATTTCTACTTACGTAGTCTGGTTAGATCGGACCTTTCTATCTGCCTCATATGTTCACGGCACTAGGATTTGGTGGCGCGGCGGGTGTCATGGTTGCTCTTGTTGGCGGATGTGCGATGATACCCATCATTGCTGTTCAATTTGTGGCCACTAAATCTGCAAAGCACTAGGGGTTTCTATTGATGATATTGAAGGCCTATCAGCGTTGTCCATCGTGGAACTTTCGAGGATTTGCTCTCCTGCAAAGCTTCGGCAATGAACGCTATGCCATTCAACTATTTTTGGAATTCATTTCTAGTTATTGAAGTACTAGAAGTAGCCGGCTCTGCACCTCACGGCCTTGACATATCTGGAATTCATATCTCGGAAAGTAGCACATTCACAGGTCCCTAGAAAAGATTACTCGGAACGCTGTTTAACCATGACATATCTTGGAAATCCGGGAACTCAAACCCATCCATCATAGCCGCATGGATTCCCTCTGCGAAGGGAATTTCGTTCATAGTATTGGCAACGCTGGAGGCAAGATCTTGCCCAGAAGCAGTGTCCGTCGGGGGCTGTCCCTCTGAGACCACCTGTTCATAGAGGATTTCGAGCGCTGCCACGCAGCGCCGAGCAGACGTGCTGTAGCTTTGATATTTGCGAAGAATCTCGAGAGCGCAGTCCCATGAGCGAGTGATGGATGGCTCTGAAATCTCGGCCAGTATTGCCGGGGACAACCTGCCAGCGATCAAAACAGTGGCAGCGGTGTATATGTCTATGTGATGATATTGAAGGATTAACACTACCTTCATCCGTGATTAAGCGGGACAGAGTTGTTTCTTACATAGTATGTTGTACCACCATGCGGGGAGAGGACCACCAGTGCCGTCGGAAGGGACGTGTGTATAAATAAGCTCAATTGATTCTTGGGCCACTTTGACACAAATGACGGAGCACTGCAAGGCAACCCTGCGAGGAAATGAATCATTGATGGAGATCATCGAGTGTGTTGTGAGATTATCTCGTGCGGCACAGTACTTTGCACTATCCATGTAAGTTAGCAAGTATGTCGGATGTTGGTTATTATTGTGAGGTATGGAACGCTAACAGAGTTGGCCGGAAGAGCAGCATTCGCACGTGTAAAAATCTGTAGATTGCCCACTGTGAGCGATTTTGCGTTAAGTAATAGGATCATGTTGGCTTACCTTGCATGTAAGACTATCCCCTGGCGAAAGAATATGGGATTAGCTTGTCCACTGATAGACGAGTCCCCACGCAGATGCACTGGAAGGCTTCTTGTCCATCGCGTAAGAGAGCGATCTAATTCGAATATTGTTCTTTCGCCTTCTCCAGCAGAATTATTGAAGTAGAAATCGTGTATGTCATCCGCACTTTCGTCTGGAACTGGTTTATATAGACTGAGGAGAACGTCGTTCATTATCTCGTACAGTTCCAAAGTCTTCGCGTAGAATGCCATCATGGACGGTCGCTCTACAGGTTGAGTCGGCTCGGCAAGGCTAGAGGTGGAGATAAACTCATCGTCCACCGTGATTGGGAGTGGAACAGCGCAACTGGAAACTTTTGATATCATAGCTGGTCGTCCAAAGGTCATAGATATGACGCTAATCGATGACAACCATTAGCTCAAGTTTACGAAGGAGAGGAAAATTACACACCGGTCCATCAATACACAGCCATGCCAGATCTTTCGAGCCAGTTGTCGCTCGCTAGGTGTACGAAGATTTGCAATCGTTTGAGGGAGGTGAATGCCTAAACTTTGGGCATTGCGAATGGAAAGCCCCGTGCAGATCCAACATTGATGTGAATAATCAGTGCTCTGTAGGTACTGAGCCATCAGCAGAAGACATTGAATCAGTCCAGCAGAGCCTGTGTCCCAGAGATTGAACTGCAAGAGTCCTTTTGCGCGCGAAAAGTACGCGTCGGCGGATGTCTCGCGCTCTTCGGGTGCGATGAAATCGGCTAATTTACTTGCCAACGCAAATATAACGTTGAACGTGCACATCACCATATTCTCGTCGTAATGTAAGGGGTCTCCCTGCCATATTTTGGTGTACTCCATCTTCATGTGAACACTATCCACAAATGGATAAAGAGGGAACACATAGTCCCAGTACACCTCCATCAATCTATCAGCCATCCTGCGAGGAGGCAGAACGTAGTCAGGTGCTGCTGACAGAGTTCGTTCATTGCGCTGGCCTGTCAAGAGGCTCGAATGAAGAGCAATGTCGGGAGCCGAAGGTCGTCTGTCTGGAGATGATACTCTTCTGTCGACTGCTGTTTTGATTTGACGCATAAAGCCAGCGGCACTGGAGCTCCCGAAAAAGCCTTGGCTTGCACGCCCTTCTTCAACTGCACCCATCATAGCGTTGACACCATCTCTCATACTGCCGCGGTCGTCATTCCCTCCAGGAGTATTCCGGGTGACCACGCCCTGAGAGTGATGAATAAACGGATCCTGGCATTGCGTTGACCGTGAAGGTTCAACGGGTGTTCCAGAATGTGTCGTGGTTGGCGAAAGGGAGGATAAGCCAGCATGCTACAGAGCGATGAGCCGAGTGAGAAAAAAGAGGGAAAGATTGACATACAAGCGTCTGGTTTGATCCGAAAGCTCTTTCGGAATGTTTAGGACTTTCTAGCTGCTTGATGCGATCTTCCAAGCTAGAGATATACCTAGAGAGTTGAAGACCCGCCGATAGCTCTGGTTAGCTCGGCCCATACATCGCCTGTCTCGGGGAGTAACTGAGGTACGTTTGTGTTGCCCGCTTCTTCTCCAGCTCCCCCGTATAGGCACACTGATTGCCCCGTTCCGGCCTCCTGCTGCAAGGTCCACATACTGTGTTGCAATTGATGCGTTAATATGCGGGTTGAATTCCGGAGGCGGGTTGTCGCTCGGCACCTACCGGGCTGCACCCCGTCACACCTCACCTTCCTACCTCGACACTCGTCACAAGCGACCGAGATTTTTCGGCGCTTTACTCTTTCGTTCGACTCGGATGCCTGACTCTTCATCTTTTAGAGTCGCGGTGGCTCTTGAGTTGAATGTTGGAAAGGATCCTGAGCGAAGGCGCGGCTTCCGGCTGAGCACGGGATGGGATCCGAGACGACCAGTTCGTAGTCCGCCCTTTCGGAGGCGAGGCTCGGGAGTTGAGTTGCGGGTAGCGATGGTCATTGGCTACTTGGACAAGGATTTCACACGGAACATTTCCGCGACAATAGAGTTGGTGACGTTTGGACTTGTCCCAGAGACAGCAGGACTATTTGCTTGACAAACCAGCTGGGTTCTTTTTGATAATTGTTCAATGCTATAGATACCTACCTTCGCATCTCGCCCTTGGAAAGCTTGCATTGTCCAGAACGATGGTGTTAATGAAGACATGGCAAAAAGAAAAAAATAAATTAAATAAAAAAGGGACAGGACATCAATAGAATGGGCAATAGGAAAAGGTCAGAGGCGACCAGCAAGGACTCTTAGGGGTATGTGGCTAGAGGGTTATCTCATATAGCCCGTGGATGTTCTATGAGCCGAATGGAATACGATCGTGTTGCGCAAAGTGACGATTGTAAATTTTCGGCATATTCCCTGGAGTTCAATAGTTCTTGCGTTCGCCTTGTTTCCTTTCTATCTGACCACGTCAAGAGGTCTCAACGGATACGAGACAAGTGGAAAACCTGGCCCTCCATATGCTGAACTGGCTCATCCGAAGATAAGGATCCAAGGTACCCACTTATGGCTCTGGATCTCGATGGTATTCAAAAGGTTATTTTTGATCGAGATATAGTAGTCCTGTTGGTTAATAATCCTGCCAGGCGATAGACGTCTTCATTGAATGGAATGAATAATCTCGAATGTCTCTCTATTGACTTAACGCTTCTGGTCGTACGGCGTCCAGGTATATATTGGCATGGCTTTCAAACCCGTATCAGCGGCAATATTGGCCAGGAGCTTATGTATCCGCTGGTTCTCCATAACATCGTTTAACAGACTCCCACGGTGCGGATGGATTCTTAGAGGTATCGCGAGATCATTGACCCAGAACGGAGTGGTAGGGAGTCCGGGATAGGCTGCTGCCTGAAAAGGAGTCCGTCGGAGCGTAGAACTCCACCTCGGAGATCACTCAATTTTGAAACTAGCATTACGCCATTCTCTGTATGTCACCTTCCTAGCTGTTGTTGGCGACGTTGCAGTCATATAATTCTCATGAGATACCCCGCTTGGGGTGCCCAATCGTTTGACAGCAGCGGATAGTACCGCCAGGGTCCGAAGCAGATCCGTGTGTATGTTGTGACTTCGTATTCTTCTTCGACATTGCCAGAACCCGGAACTTAGCGCTCGTAATTCTTTGAAATCAATGAAGAGAAATATATATAAATTCCAGACGATGGCACGGTTGTGGCTTTTAGTTCAATCCCACGCCAAGCCTCGAGTGAGATCCTAAAGATGCTTATTCTGGCCCCATTCATTTTGTTAGTGGCGACGGTCGGAGCCCTGCAGAGTCCTCATCGGAAGGCCCCCTCAATCAAACCTGTAACAAAGTCTGTCCACAAAAGAAGCAGATCAATTAAGTCGGGGCACCAATACCTGAACAACAATACACAGAGTAAGTCTTACCCTGGAGCACCTCCGACGAGACATTTTGCAGATGTCTAAGCCAACATTAGAATACCTTGTCGATGGGGCACACTTCCCTCAAGTCCCATTTGATATCGGCGAAAGTTATGCAGGCCTCTTGTCCAATGCCCCCCGCGGGGAGTCCAGTTTATTCTTCTGGTTTTTCCCATCCACTAATCCAGATGCGGATAAAGAGGTGAGCACTCATTGATATGTTGCAAACGGCAAACTCATAATTTTCACTCTAGATAACGATCTGGCTGAACGGAGGCCCCGGCTGTAGCTCTCTGGACGGATTGCTGCAGGAGCATGGGCCGTTCCTCTGGCAGTCAGGAACGTATGAGCCCGTCCGAAACCCATATTCATGGTCCAATTTAACGAACATTGTCTACATCGACCAACCAGCTGGTACTGGATTTTCACCGGGGCCGGCTACCGTTCAGAATGAGATTGATGTGTCAAACCAATTCAATGATTTCTGGAGGAGATTCATTCAAACTTTCAGTATGCAAGGCTACAAAGTTTACATCACTGGTGAAAGCTACGCTGGGCAATATATTCCATATCTAGCCTCTGGGATGCTGGATCAAAACGACAAAACTCATTTTAATCTCAAAGGCATACAAATCAATGATCCATCCATCAACGAAGACAATGTCATGATATACGGTTCGTGTAACAGGGAGAAAATATCTCGTCTAAGCTAATGTGATTGTTAATATAGCTCCCGCTGTCCCTGCTCTGAACTACTTCTCTACGGTCTTCTCGCTCAACGACACGTTTATGACGGAGATCAATAAACGCGCGGATGAGTGTGGCTACAACCAGTTTCTCGACAAAGCTTTGACTTTCCCGCCGCCTAAAGATTTCCCAAATGCGCCAGATCCTAGTCAACATGGTTGTGACGTCTGGGACCAGATCATCAAGGCAGCTACGTACATCAACCCATGCTTCAACATTTATCACCTTACGGACTTCTGCCCGTTTTTGTGGGATGAGATGGGCTTTCCATCTCTAGCCGGCGGCCCGAATGATTACTTTAACCAGTCTGCTGTCCAAAAAGCCCTACACGTCCCCCCTACCAACTACGCAGTTTGTGGTGGAAATATTTTCCCCAATGGTGATGGATCAGCACCTAGTGCACTTGGTCCTCTCCCCAGTGTGATCGAGCGCACTAATAACGTCCTCATTGGCCATGGGTGGTATGACTATCTTCTGTTCATGAATGGAACTCTGGCCACCATCCAGAACATGACTTGGAATGGACACCAGGGCTTCCAAAAGCCCCCAGTTGAGCCTTTACTAGTGCCATACACTGATTCCCTGAATGCAATTGCAAATGGTAACGGACAGATCCCTTTCACTGCTGACGCCGGGGCCGGAATCCTGGGAACGGCTCATACTGAACGTGGGTTGACATTCAGTACCGTATATGGATCTGGACACGGTAAGCATGATGCCATTTCAACCTCTGTTTTTCTTGTCGACGAAAAAAAGACCTTGCTGCTGATGTGGTCACACAGAAATCCCGCAATATTCCCCCGGTGCCGCTTACAGGCAACTTGAGTTTTTACTTGGTCGGATCAAGAGCCTCCAGGATCCAGGTCCCTTCACAAGCCAGTAGAGGAATTGACTCGTTGGGGCGGTCCATAGTTTAAGGAGCAGATTCGGGAAAGTGTTGTCAATATGCCGCGGACAGGAACAGCAGACCTCAAGTTTTGCAAAATCTTCGGCTAGGAGTCAAAGGCTTCTATATCAATTGCACGGATAACTATGAATAACTTGAGCAAGATATAGCATTGCCTCAGAGAGGTAACATTCTAAAGTGCGTTGTGTTGCTAGGAGTGATGATGAGCCTTAGCAGTGTTGATGGGTTAGACAGTACTTTGTCGGCAAAGAACAACATTCCGTGATAATTTACACCTTTCACCGGATAGTTTTCTTGTTCGAAGATTTTTTGCGTTGTTCATCCAGGACGAATGTTGTAATTATTATTATCGAGATGCTGTGTTCGACAAAAGGAAACGCGGGCTCCAAAAATGGTCTAGCGGGGGCCAGCTTTGGAGATTCTGACAAATCAACATTGAGCGGATATTTGAAGGGTTTCTTGGATGATCTTCCCGGATTTGGCAGGGTATTCCATCCAGATCACGGAATCGCGACCTTGCAGTACTGCATGATCCAGGAAGACATCCTACTGTAACTCATCAAGACTGACTCTGAAAATGGAGCTGCCCTATCAACCAGTCTATGTGATGATCCCATCATCCAATGAATCAATTGAGAGCGAGCGTCTTCTTCTTCGACCGATTTGTGACTCTGACGCTGCCGCCCTGTTAGCTATTCGTGGGCGACCTGAAGTAGCCAAGACAAAGTAGGTTGTTAATGCTTCTTCCTGAAATAATTTCTTGGTTCTGATTGATCTACCTAGCTACCCCAAGGAGCCTTTCAAGTCCATTGAGCATACCCGTGAATGGATGGCAAGCAAGGTCTTTCTCAAGGGTCCAGAAGACATCATTGGGCGCTCCTTTAACTTTGCAATTCTCGATAAATCGATCCCGCCATCAGAGGAGCAGCTAGTGGGATACGTCAGTGTGAACACCCTTGAACCATGCCCTGAAATCGGGTACTCTCTTCTTCCAGAGTCATGGGGCAAGGGTTATGCCACGGAAGCATTACGAATGCTGTTGAAAAAGTGGTGGGATCTCCCAAGAAGGAACAGGGTTGAAGATAACGCGGCCGAAGAGAAAATCTACGCTATTTGTGAGAAGCAGAATATCGGGAGCACGGCGGTCCTCCGCAAATGTGGTTTCGAAATCGTTTCAGATTTTTGTTTTGGGTCAGATGAGTTATTCATATGGGCTTTGAAGAAGCCATAACTCGTCCAGCTTTGTTGAATAACGAGACACCTGACTGACTCCTTGCCAACCAATGTTCATGAAAACGGATATCTAGTGTATACAATTGACGATGGTCTAGTATTACAAGTAATGTGTCCAACCAAAGTACGAGGGACGGATTTCTCAGTCCAACAAAGCGCCACAATCGTGGCCTCCGCTAAAGATCACATCGTCAATCCACACACGACCGGTAACTGAGGAGTCCTCTGAGTCACAACTAGCAATGATGTTCAAAGTTTCCTCTGGCCTCCGTGGGAAATAGGTACCGGTCACGGATGTCCACTCACCAAATGTGAACAGCTGCGAGGATGCAATCCGGCCCGTGGTCGCATTGCGGCCCATATAGACGTAGACATCACAGTACTCAGAACCAGATGGCGATGGAACTTGTACACTTGCGCTGAAGGTATACTTTGTGCGTGGCTCGAGATGCTTGAGAGACTGAGATATCGTGTTGCCTCGATTGCCCACGGCAGTCTGGAGATCACTGTATATGTGTGCGTCTATCAGTTGCACGGTCCACCACGAGAAAGAAATCCAGAAACCGGGGACTGACAGGTAGTAATCTCCGCTGTATGCGCTCGTGCCATTACTGACTTTTGCGACATTCACAGCCGATGGGACCCACGGGTACAAGGACCCCGACTCAAACGATGGGTTCACCACGGCATTGCAGGTATCGAGGGCCATTTTGGAGTCAAATAGGAGTCTCTCAAGCCAATGCCCGAGCGATATGAGAAATTTTACGGACTACATCTCACAAAAATGGGTCGGCTGGGAAAATATAACTTTTCAGGATCAGGAAGTCGGGTTATCCTGTCAGAGGAGTCTGAGACACTGAGATGGGGCTGCGGCATCGACCGACACTAAAGGTCCATTAATTGGTCGAATGGCTCCACCGTGGCCTAACCGCATTTGCTTGTTTTGTGTGTTTGGGCGCGCAAATCAACCTCGGAAGGTTTGACAGATCCTACGTGATGCCGGAATATGAAACATATCCTGTCAAGATGGGCGGACAATCCTTCCTTTGCTACAGTAGGCAAATGCTGGCTGCCAGTGATCACTCTTGATTTTTGCCTCAACTTCCTTGAATGGTTGAGACGCGACGCAACGGGACGGGAATGATTTCCACGCGGCACGCGGACTGATAGTATGCGTAGACGAAAGAACTTGACTTTGATTTTAAGAAAAAAATAAATGACTTCCATCTTTTGAGAGATCTCAAGCAGGACCTGATCGCTGGAGAGGAGCCGCCCTGGTCCTTCTCGAGTGGACGGTAGCCATTGGATCTAGAGGCTCTAGTATGTATCTATGTGGTCAATCAGAATCGAGATGCACACGCAGTGGTGGGTAGCGATGGGATTGATAGATGCAATGCTCAGCCAACATTTCTAGTTAAATAAAGTCAGCATCTAATAATGATGATAAATCGACCCGAGAGGTAAACCATTATGGCGACTTTGGTTGTCATTTCATACGAAACTACTAATCGCTCGCATGAATCATGAATTTCTGTATTTTGGTCCGATCCTTTCATCGGAACTCGTCCTCTTGGACAAAGGGTATACTCCAGAGAAGTCACGTGAATGCCCTTCTGGAGGGGGCCGATGAGTGAGCTCGACTTGTCATTCTTCTTCTCATGCAACATGGACCCCAGAGTACTACCGTGAAGTACTGACTGTGATGCAACTGATCAACCGCGGTGGACGATCAGGATCCGAAGATCGGTTTTTTTTCCCACGAGGAGGAGGAGAATGATTCTCCCATGATTGTTATCATTTGCACTGACCCTTGAGGCGACCGAGACCATCTGATTGGACCCGGATTGCGATCAAGCAATCGTCGGAGGCGAAATCCCAACCAGCCTTGGGGGTCGATCAAACCTGATACGAAGGGCCTTTTCCTTTCAATAATCTGCCGAAGGGGCTGGCCCGAGGATGGAAAGATGGAGATCAACACCTCCAGTGATGAGGCTGCTGACAACAATTAGAATGGCCAGGGACAGATAATACCCCAATGGGCAAGGATCGACTGGGTCGACAGGCCAATTCTCCGAGCGCCAGGAGGCATTCTTTGCCAGTTCTTGCCAGTTCCTCCTTATCATCTTCAAATCAGAATCATCCCAGAGCCCTGGATGGGCTCAATTTGGCGGGGGACCCACCGCATGTGTTTTTCCGTTGGTCGGCCTGCGACCGAGGGCCCGAGGTTTTCCACTCACGAACACCAGAGCTACGAATCACGGTACTTTGGACTGGTGAAATCCGGGGAACGAGTGGGAACCCGAGTGGGCGCAAACGGTTGATCGTTGCCCATCATCTTCCTTGGATCGCCATGGCGAAGCCATCAGCAGGGGCGCATGGACCTTTTGTTCCCCAATATTTTCGACCATTCTGGGGCATCGGGGGGACCGAGGCAGACCGGTGGGCACGACAACAGGGACGAGGGGCGCGAAATGAGGGGTTTCATGTGGATTCACGATGATCTCGAGGGGCAAGGGGGACGACCTTGACGAGACTTACAGTATATCATCCCGCCAGATCAGCCCTCGTTCGAAGGGGTCTTTTTGGAAGATCTGCCCCGACAAGCAATTCCCAACACTACTGTCCCCAACTTTGGCACTGGACCTGTCTTCTCTATCACTCTCATTCTCCTTCTCATCCACCGGTTCAATCCAATTGCAATCTCTACACCAGCCCGACAATGGCTGCGGACGGACCGAAACCCGGCTTCCTGGGAAACATCAACCAGGATCAGGAAGCCAAGCTACAGAAACTATGGTCGGTGCTGCTAAAGGCCGCCGAGGCGCCGTCGGGCGACGAGCCGTCTAACGGCTCAGTTCAAGAGCCCACCAGCCCAACCCAGCCGCAACGACGACACTCCTTGCTCGGTCGCACCCAGAGCAATGTCTCCGAGAAGACCACAGCCAGCGTGGCGAGGTCTCCCTACCAGCAAAAGGTCATGGCTTACCTCAAAGAGATCGGCATCGGCGCACATGAGACCAAAATGGTCCAGAAGGCACTCTCGGAGATTGCCCCACTGGAGCTGCGTAACGGCGTCTTGAACTTGCTGAAGCATGACAACCCTGACGCGATGCTGCTCCGATTCCTACGCGCCCGCAAGTGGGACCTTCCAAAGGCTTTTGCCATGATGATGGAAGCCATCGTCTGGCGGGTCAAGGAGATGCATGTGGATGACGACGTCATGGCCAAGGGCGAATTGCATGCGCTGCAGCAAGAGCGAAATACTGCGAACGTGGTCGACAAGAAGGCGGGCAAAGACTTTTTGGCCCAGATGCGCATGGGCAAAGCTTACGTGCATGGAACGGACAAGCTTGGTCGACCGATTGTGGTGATCAAAGTTCGCTTGCACAAGCCCGGCGCGCAGAGTGAAGAGACTTTGGAGAGATACATTGTGCATGTCATTGAGTCTGTTCGACTGACTCTGTTCCCCCCGGTCGAGACGGCCGTAAGATTTACCTCTTGTCTTGCGATATGGTGACCGTCTCGCTGACCTTCTCTTCTCTACTTATAGTGTGTTGTATTTGACATGACAGGGTTCGGGCTCTCCAATATGGTATGTGTGAAAAGGAGATATAGACTGCACTGGTCAGATCATGTCCAAAGCAAAGTAAAGCTAAGATGGATCTCCTATATATAGGAATATCCGCCCGTCAAGTTCATCCTGAAGTGCTTCGAAGCCAACTATCCCGAATCACTGGGTGTACTGCTCATCCACAATGCTCCATGGGTGTTCTCAGGTTTGTCCACCTTAATGCACATGCATCTCATTAGAATGCCACTTGCACGGCCTTGATAGCACGGACTGACATTTGTTGGTTGAAAAACTAGGAATTTGGAGAATTATTCGAGGATGGATGGACCCTGACATTGCAGCCAAGGTGAATTTCACAAATAACACGAACGATCTTGCAAAATTTATTGCCGGTGATCAGCTTGTCGAGGAGCTTGGTGGAACTGAAAAGTGGAAGTACGAATATATCGAGCCCAAGGAGAATGAGAACCAGAAGATGGAGGATACCACCACCAGAGATGCACTCACCCGTGAGCGTCAACAAATTGGCGAAGAGTTCCTCACATCTACTTCGGAGTGGATTGAAGCAGCCAAGTCAAAAGACAAAACCAAGATCCAAGCTGCAGAGAGTCAACGAGCATACCTGGCAGAGCGATTGAGAGTCAATCACTGGAAGCTTGACCCCTATACCCGAGCTCGCCTGTGCCTGGACAGAGAGCGCGTCATCCAAGAGGGAGGGCAGATTGATTTCTATCCCAAGGAAGAGGAGATCGTCGAGACGAAGCCCGTGGAAGTCAAAAAGACATCAGAGGTCGAGCACCTGGAAAGTGTGAATGGTAGCGCGACACGGGCAACTGTGGCATAGGGGACTTTTCTCAAATTCTTTTAGCCGTTGTTCTTCTCCTTGACCTAGAATTTTTGGTATCTTACTGTCTGAATTTGATTGATTCTTGCTGAGGGTCAGATTACCCAGAAGCACTAGTATGTCACTTCTCATGTCCTCTGCAGAGACAAGTACTATGGTTGTATCGCCTGTGAGTGTTCACTTTTATTCGAATTCTGTTTGAAGAGTCATGTAATATCGAGGATTTTGTTCCCCGGGAGAAATTGCACCGTTGTCTAATTTCGAAGAATGGCTAACAAGCCATCCTGCTCTCTGATGATTTGAAATCAACACATTGACCTGACTTCGGTCACCTCTATCCTGTAGCGTAGGTAGGCAAGTAGAGTGGCTGGTGGAAGCAAGCCCTTTGTGGCCACTCATGACACCATTTTTGAATGCTTTCTCCTTTGATCCCGAACAACCACCGGAAAGTCTATGGTCATCTATTGCCAATTCAGCAGGGAGAGCGTTCATACTGTATTTAGCATCGCTCGCATCGCAGTACCAGCACCATTCCGCGGATATTCCTTCTATTGCTTTCGGTACCGCTGCAAAATATAGGTGCGACGTAAAGGTAGACGTCAAGCTTGGGGATGCTTGTTGTATTGCCTTGAGCAATACGGGGCTGGCGCTATGAAGTGATCATTATTGGCGTAAAGCATTCCGGCTACCCTAGAAGTAGCTCACCGTATACGCAATAGCCAAAAGGATGAAAACAGGTCACTGGAGCATGAACCGAACAGCGTAAATAATTTAGTCTCTCAACAACTCTGGAAGTGGATATTCCCCGGAGGCTGATAAGTCTCTGTGTCCATGTTGATGAGCCGGCAATCCTCGAGGCAGAGTTTAGGCAAAGGGGCTTTGTTCCTGAAATATACAATCTCTTGGAACATGTCAATCGCGTCCTGGTCACGGCCCTGGTTGATCGGGAATTTTCGAGACTCGTAGAAGGTGAAGATTAGATAACAAGCCACAAAGACAATGAAAGTGATCTGTAAGGTTTCTCACTTTCCGAAGGGTGACTACTGTTCACTTTAGCAGGATCATTCCTCCCAATCGTGTTACTCCGTAACAATATAAGGAGCGGTAGTAATGACACAGAGGCCTATCATCAATACACCTACAGTAAACCTGGTTATAGCGAACTATTCTTTGCAAAGAGTTTTGGTTCGTTAACCCAGGGATCCGTAATATAGAGGTACCCTCTATATATATATTTGCATGGTGCACTGCTCGGACCAGCCATGGAGGTTCCTTTCTGTCGGAACAGCAGGATGGGTGGATCCCCAGGGAAAAGGAAATACTAAACACCCGCCTAGCTTAGTCATGTTTTTGCCCATACAAATTGTTAGCAAAGGGGCATCGTAGCAATTCAGACCTGTTGAGATCCAATTGGCGCGCGGTATGATTGACTAAGCAGTATTCGCGACTCTTTCTAACCCCGTGATACACGTGATATTTCTCTCCATAAAGGGCTAGCCTATTGCCTAAAAAGGTTTAGATTGCGCTTATTAATATAACGAAACCGAGGCAAAATCTCAACGAATTCGCAGTAGCCAGGATATTCGCTTTATATATGGGAAAATCAATTTTGACAAGAGGTTTTGGTTCGTAAACCCAGGAATTCGTTTTAAGGAGGGTTGTTATAGCCAGGTTTTACTGTACACTTATCTCTCAGGCACCATTGCGGCTTTTCTATCGTTTGTCTCCATTCAGCTTCCGTTAATAGGAAGAGATAAAGACCTTATTGGAATATATGTTTTTTAAAGCCTTGCCAGGGTCATATATAGAGAAGGAAGTTTGGAGGATTCTGCATGCATGAGCTGAAGGCGTGGCGTACGACTCATGGTATACATACAACGCTCTCCCTTGGCACTAAACTTCCTCAGCATTTAAGCGACACAGCTGCTGGTTGCCTGAAGGACCCAGACACGGGTGATTGAAATCGGCGCGATGTAACATAATTCTAAGGATCTTGAAATAAATGGGGCCAAAACTGTATTATGTACGGCAAAAGTGCAAGACTAGGGAGTCTTGGACAGGGGTTCTCGGTAACAAGGTTTGACAAAGAGTTGAGATGAGCAAGGACATGAAGCTGAGGAGCGAATAGTCAGGGCGAATCAAGATTTCCACCACTTATTGTCTTTTGTTTGACAGGGTATACAGCACCAATGCGTGGCGTGGGGGGATCACGCAGTTAGCGCGTCTCCTTCAGTCCTAGCCACTACGCGAGACTTCAACAATAACAACGTACATTCAAAATCATTACTTCGCTTGAATTTCCGATCGGGCCCTGCAGCCTCGCTTAGAGATCCGAATCGATATGATTGTCGTGTGAATAGACGAGAACGGCGGCTTAGCTCTCATCCTTGAAGCAATTCACCAATTGAACAATGTACGATCGGTTACTGATTGGTTAGCGGAAGTCCATCCGACGGAAGTTCTACGGCCCCTCAGGCCCTCAAGGCGCACCATTTAAGGAGAAACGAATTCTTTTTTTTCTGATTCTGCTGTTTTTTCATTTAACTGCGGACGTGACTGATTTCTGACGACGTCTTGTTGTCTTTTGGATTGACTGTCTGCAATTATGCGTGCTTGGCTCTTATTCGGCGCCGTGTCCGCCGCAGGTGGGATAGCTCTAGTGAGTGCCGATGTCATCGAACCATCAAATTTCAATGTTACCGAAGAACTGCTGAAGCTTGGAGTGGACGTGTCAAGTATTCCTGCCTTAAAATCATTTAGTGGCACCAAGACGAGGTCAACTGCAGGTGCATGTGCCGCGGAAGTAAGTCGGAATCATTCACGAAGTCAACCCAATGGACTCTTGCTTTCAGATGCTGACTTCACGGCGATTAGTGCGGGAGCTTGAAGTTTCTCTTCGGATCACAACAAGTCAATGCGCAAAATACGACCCTCTATAAAAATTTCACGAATTCTTTCTGGTCCGAGCAGCAGGAACAAGTTCAGCCCTATTGTGTCTTCCGGCCATTGGTGAATAGCCAAGTCAGCATAGTGGTCCTGTTGTCTCTGTTTACTGGCTGCCCATTCGCCGCAAGAAGTGGTGGTCATGCGGCCTTTTCGGGTGCTTCTAGTAGTGCTGGAGGAATCAGTATTTGGTTCAAGGATATGAACGCGGTAACGCTCAATGTAGACAAGTCGGTCGCTTCAATTGAGCCTGGTAACAACTGGCTGTCAGTCTATTCAGCACTTGAGCCGTACGGACTAGCTGCTGTTGGCGGTCGTGCCGCCAGCATCGGTGTTGGTGGCTTTGTATTGGGTGGTGGAATTTCGTATCATTCCAACTTGTATGGATGGGCCCTTGATAATGTCCAAAGCTTCGAGGTAAGCTCAATCTCAGTATGCCACCTACGTTATTGAAGGACCCGGGGACTGAAAACCATCAGGTTGTCACTGCAACTGGTCTCATCGTCACTGCGAGTGAGACTGTCCTGCCTGACTTGTACTGGGCCCTCCGCGGTGGCGGAAATAACTTTGGTCTCGTCACCAAGTACAACGTCTATACTATTCCTTGCCCAACAATGCGAGGAGGTTCCAGAATATTCACCGAAAACTATTTCACAGAAGTCGTCAACGCCTTCATTAACGTCGTCAACAACGCCACTATGGACGGAAAAGCTCAGCAATACGTGGCATTCCTTCAGAGCCAAGGTACAAATATCGCTACAGCTGAACTAACTTACACGGAGGATGTTGCCGACCCGGTGATCTTCCAGCAATACCGAAACATTCCGGCCATTGCCGATTCTACTAGCACCAAGACACTTGTCGAATACGTCAAGTACCTTGAAGCCGACAATCCATTCCGATACCGCGAAGTGTACTGGCCGATTGCCGTGCAACTCAACGAAGAGTTCAGCAATTGGGTCGTGGAACTATTCATTTCATTGATTCCGCAGGTGATCAACCTCAAGGGTGCAAACCCGGTGATCATTTATCAAGGTATAACCGAGCCAATGCTGCAGAATATGACCAAATATGGCGGCAACGCTCTGGGGCTCGATGCTTCTACGGGCCCGATTCATCTCATGCACGTCTCTTTCTGGTGGGACGAACAATCAGACGATGACACAGTCTATGAGTGGGTTCACAGCTTCTGGACCCAGGTTATTGCAAAGGCCCAAGACATGGGCATCTACAACGAGTACATCTACATGAATTACGCCAGCATGTTCCAAGACCCGATCACTGGTTATGGTGAGGCCAACAAAGACCGCCTACGGAAGATCGCCAACGTGTATGATCCAAGTGGGGTCTATCAGACTCTTCAGCCTGGATACTTCAAGCTCAATGGACCGCCAGTGACCTATTCTCTCTAGCTGGCGAGTATTTAGTACCGAGCTCTCTCTACGTCGACATTTTAAACTAATTCAATTTGACATCATAAAATAATGTTGTACGACTGTTTAATAAGGTGAAACTAAATGGAAAGGATGATTTTGAAAATTACTTGAAAGAGATTAGCTCAGTTGGTAGAGCTGTCGCTTTACACGCGAAAGGTCGCCGTGGGCTACCACTTAACAAGTGCGCTATCTTCCTCTTGATAGTTTCCGTCCTCTCTAGATGTCGTTTTTGAAATTTGGAGGTTCCGAAACTTAGGGCAAAGGGCTGAATCCCCATGTTCCTTGCATATCCTTGTTTTCTTAGCTTAGTCGTGGGACAGGTCCGCTATTCTGTATGCGTAAGAACTGTCAGAAGAAGGGAGAGATTAACAGCAACCCCACACTGGTGGTCCCTTTGCTGAGTAGCATCTGGGCGCTCATTCTCACTGTACTACGGGTGCTGGTAAAATATGTAGTAGATTTGACAGTGGGCTACCAGGCTTGCGCCGAAGCTGATCGTCAGGGCTTTGATGCCCGGTACAGCATGGTCGGTGATTTCTAGAGTGGATAAACCATGAACAGGCATTGAACTAAAAGCAAATCTGGTAATGCTACCTCGAGGCTATCTCCGCCTTTCTTGTTCCTGTCACTAGAGCTCGCAGGGTACGAGAGCCGAGAATTTAAAAGGTGAATTACTTCTTCATCGCTCGTTCCAGATGTATGGCTAATGACCTATAGTATCTGTTTGTTTCATATCGTATCCCTTGTGTCAAGGATAATGCACGCCCTGTAGATGTGAATTTTAACACGATTTCTTCTGTCAACGGGTAATGATATTGTATGATATTGTCCAAGGAATTATGCTAGTTGGTCTTTGGAAGCTTGATGTAACATGTACTTCAGAGTAGACATATCGGGCACTATGGAATTGTTTCGAATTCATACACTGCCACACGGGTTGAGAGAGAACTACTGGGTAGATAGTTCTTGATGCTAGTTTCGATCTAGGATGCGTATATGCGAATAAGGCATGATTGCTGAGGCAAAGGAGTTATTTAAAAGAACCAAGTACATTCTAGCCGACAGGATCAATTGTCGGTCATTTATCGATCTTTCGAATTTCAAGATAGGTGTATGTACCATGAACATCAACCAATAAGTCGCCTTCGTGTTCAGCACGGAAGTCATCAATCATGTCAACTTTCCGACCCCATGATCTCCACAGCAGGAGACCCGTGGATCATAGTACCGGAGTTTGTGCTGCTCGGCTGATCCAACTCCGTCGGGCCAGTCTTTCGTCGCGGGGGGATATAAACCTGATCAGTCGCCTGCACGACGCCAGTCATACTTGCTTGGCGTTGCCTATTCTGCCTTCGCTCAATGAGGGCCCAAATCAAGGCGCAGACCATCAGAAGGCCCAATGGAACACCCACACCAACTCCAATTGCTGTGCTATGATCATGCGAAGAGGGCTGTTCGGTTCCTTCTTTGGTTTCGCTAGTTCCTGTCGCGGATGCAATAGACACTCCTGTCGTGGATGAGTCGAGTCCCCCAGCTGTAGCATTTGCCAGCGCAGCCCGGCCGAAGATAATTTCTCCATCATCGAGGACAAAAGGAGCATCTCCATTAGAGCATCTAGTGGCGTTGTTATGTTCGCTTTGGTAGCCGCAGCAGTAAATTGCGCGGTTATTGTCATTTAGCCCTACGCTGACAATCGGGGCGTTGGAGCCAGTCTCGTAATTGACTGTTCTGCACCAGTCAGCCAAGTTTACCAACGAGATAGGATATAGAGAACGAACCACAATAATAAGCGCAGAAGCTTCCCCAGGCAGAATCCGTACAGGAGCCCCGATACAGCGTTAACGGTTGGGTGGTCACACTGAGACAATAACCTGTGCTAAGACAGATTGCGCCCGACGCACAACAAAAGGTAGTGTTATTACTACCGCAGGGTACGGCGTTGGTTGCAACAGTCCGGTCGGGGTTGAAGCATGTGGCCTCGGTTACGGCAGCGAATGTGAAGATAATAGCTGTGGACTGAAAAGATAGGAGCATCATTTTTCCGTCTAGAGAATGTGTGGTGGTGTGATGGGTAACAGAGGCAAGAGCGAAAGGAGAAGAGGGGAATCGAGGTTCAGAGAATATTCAAGTCATAATAATGGGGGCCGGAATCAAGTTCAAGAAGTCTAAGCAGACCAAACCCCGTGCGTTTAATCGTGTTGCTTTTAGCTTGACTAAGTATCATTACACTAATTGACTACTCTGTCTGCCATCCCTGTTCCTTGGCAGTCTTGGTATGCACCTTCCGAAAAATGGTTCGCGAGATTTTCAGCCGATGCTACTTTAGAGCTTACTAGTTTCTGTAACGCATTCCTGCCAAATATAGTAGTGACTACACAAAAGTCTAGACACCACCCTTAACTAACTAGCCCCACACCACCTTAATTATATAATATTCCGCCATGCCCTTAGCAACTCCCAAGCATATGTGCCCCAGCAATATGGCCGAAATCTGATACCATTGAAAAATGTGCTTATTCCACTTTCAGCCTGTAGCTTAGAAGTATGGATGAGTTGAAATTATGTCGTTTTGAATCTCCTGCAGACAATCCCAGTGCTCGACAACACATGAACCACTCGTTCTATTCGATAAAGTAATAATCCTTATAACTAGGGAAGAGAAGATAATATATAGATAGTAGGAAGCTAGTTAGCCCGTAATAAATTAGTGATAGCTAAAGCGGTAGCTAAGTATCTATAATATAAGAGGGAATAAGGATCTCTAGGAGACCTAAAAAGAGATCTTAAGGCTTAATTTAGGGGGCCATTGTTGGCACCCCATGAGAATTTGGCCCGCACCCCATGAGGCCTGATTTCGGCCTGAATTTCTGCCTTACCATATAAATTACTGCCAAGCTTGTTAGAGCTATTACTTTCAATTATCCACATCCTTCTTTCCTATATCCACGTACTAAATCTCTCCTCTAAGAGATCACATAACCTACCATCCTCTCCTTAGGCAATTTGCCTACCAATTTACTAATTACCCCTCCCCCCCCACACTAGGCCCTATTCCTACTATGGATCTTTCAACGGCAGCATCCGCTAAATCTCTATCTAATTTAGACCAATCTACCCTAGGGCCTTCTATCCTACCTACCTATCCTCTTCTTCCACCACCCGGTCGCACCTACTAATCGTGTGAGATTGCTAGGGAGGATCTCAAGGATTTTGCCGCTCAACAGGGCTACGCTCTAGTGGTAAAGAGATCTGACGAAATCAGGATTGAATTACACTGTTCTCTCTGGCTAGACCCTACAAAGAGAGGTCCTTCGGTGGCTAGTAAGGCTAAATCGCGAGAGGTCAACAAGATTGGGACTAATTGCCTATTCTACGTCAAAATCTGCCTCCGAAAGGATAGGAAAAAGGTTAATCCGGACCGAATTGAGATTATCGTCAAAAACGGGACACATAATCATGAGCCTATACTAAAAAACCTTCTTGTTCCCCTAAGGCAAAGAGAGAGGGAAGAAAAGGCTGAGCGACTCCTTGGTTACTTAAAACAGGGCTATAAACCTATGGCAATTTAGCAGATTTTAAAGGCAGAGGGAAGTCTTCTCAACTTGAACGATATCTACAATCTCCGCACCCGAGCAAGGCAACTTTTCCTCTATAGGCGCATATTAATTGAAGCTGTGGTCGAGAGCCTACCGGGTTGGATTATACACTACTAATTAGATAGTCAGTAACGGCTAATCAGAATCCTCTTTATCTCAAAGCAAGGCCTTGAATTTCTACGTATTTACCTAAACGTCCTATAGATAGATGCTATATATAAGACTAATCGGTAAGAGAGAGATTAATTAGTTAATTAGTTAATTAAGCTAACTTCCTAGTTAGGTATAATATACTATTAGTCGATATTATCGGGCAAGTCTCTACTAGAAAGAACTTCTATATAGCCCTTTGCTTTATAAGTAATAAGCAAGAAGTATCCTATTTTTGGACACTCTAGACTCTTCAAATATAGCTTTTATAGGCAAAGATTCAAGCCCCTCGTGTCCTTATTTTAGACGACGTAGACTCTCTTTTAAATATATATAGGCGAGTCTTCAAGGATAGCTAGGGCCTACTTTGCCTCTAGTATATCATGAAGAATATTAAGACTCGAGTTCGGCTGTTAATTTTAAAGGAATTACTCCTATAGGGCCTTCCTAATCAGGAAGCTTAGACGAAAACTATCTAATTATAGCGAAATACGAAGGCTAAATTCATATAGATTGTCCTAGAAGGGATAGAAGATAGGATAGAAGCTAGGAAGGCCTCTTTTCTAGAAGAACTAAGCGATCCTATCTACTAATCGGCAATCGAATATATCGAGAAATAGTGGTTTATTCAAGATAGGGCAAAGCGCTTTATACGCTGTTATCTTAACAGAGTTCTTTATTATAATAAGCTTACTTCCTCGCGCGTGGAAGGAGCCTATACAAAGATTAAGAAGGAACTTTAGAGCTTAACCGGCGATATTCTTGTAATAATATAGGGAGTCTCTCGAGTCGTTTCCTATATAAATTAGCAGGCTTTCTACTTAATCCAATCCTAAATCTATTATAAACCCGTCTCTCTTTAAGTCCTATTATTCCGCGATATCCTCGGCTAGGTCTTAATATACGCAATTCGAAGAGTATATACCGTCTAGGGTAAATATCTTCGAGTAGATAAGCAACTACCCCCTTACACCTAATACTAATCGCGCTCGATTAGTCTTCCGTGTAATTATATAATCAAAGATCTTCAGGATAGTAGCAATCCTCTTCTCTAATCTTATTTCGACTAATAATACTAGCTATATTTACTGAATCTTCGGCCGAATCAAACAATTAGAAGGACTAATCAGAGAGGAGGAAGGCTTCGTATCAAGGAACCGAATCGGGTAAAGGGTATCGGCCGACCGAAGTTACTAGAGACTATTAAGCGTTTTCGAAGATAGGGATAGAAGTATACTACCGGTCGCAACTCTAGGGTAAAGAGAAGTCGGAATACCTACGTTTCTATAGATAAAACTATAGGAATCGTGGTACTACCGCCTTCAAAGAGACCTAATACATCGACAAGGCGAATGCCTTCGAACTAGGAGAAGAAACTTAGGCAAGGGCGTAGGGCGCGTAGTCGTAAGGCAAAGAGATTGGTGCTAGTAGAAAAGGATAGGGAGAGACGGGCAAGGCAGATTAGTAAGTGGCGATTTGGCTAGAAACCTAAGGCTTAATAGGTCATGTGACTAGTCTAGTAGATAGAAGATAGAAGATTTCGAAATTGATTTATGTAGGTTATATGATCTCTTATAAGCGAATAGCCTTAGGAAAGATTGTATTAGGTCACGTGACTACCTAGTAAAGATAGAAGGGGTAAGGGATTAGGTGTATGAATAAGAAAGAGATGCGTGGTTAAACTTGTATTAAATTATTATAACAGCCTTGGCAGAAATCAGGTGATAAGGCAGAATTCAGGCCGAATTCAGGCCGAATTCAGGCCGAAATCAGGCCTTATAGGGTGCGGGCCAAATTCTCATAGGGTGCCAACAATGGCCCCCTTAATTTATGCTACTCTCTTAAAGTTAAGTAATCCTAGATTATTCCCTATAATAGGTTAGTTTATTATTATTAGTACTATATATTGGTATATGTGGGGCCTTAGGCCTAGATTGCTATTTTGAATTCTGCCTGCTTACTAAGCAATCTCCCCTATTTTTACCGCGGAGGAACACTATCTTGTATCCTCTTTTTAATACACCTTTTCTGCACCTTTACTACTATGAAACATCATCATGTTTACCCCGCCTGATATATCAGATTGATCCTTAACGATCGCATCAACATTGCCTATCCAGGCAGGAGACTACGTAACACTCCAAAATAACCTCGAATGTTCTTAATTTCCTTATATGATATTTGCCATATACCCTATATTATAAATTACACCCTGATTCCTAGTTAGAATAAACAAGTTTGATATCTTTTCTACCTTAAGTAGAATCACCGGGTATAGTAGACCATCTAAATCAACCTTCTACTGCTTGATTCTTCTGTCTGATCAGCCGATTGTGATCTATCTTGATTCGTCTCTCTTCTATAATCGTGGCACTAAGATTAGTGTGCACGAACGATTTCTTCTACAGTTTTATGTACTAGACGCATTTCTAACAGTTATAAGCCCGAGCCTCTGCTAAGGACTCTATCTTTTACTTTCGTCTTATCTATCCCTCACTTTCGTCTTAAGTGATAGATTCATCCGATCTACGAGCTACCTAGCTCAATTATCCTCTAAAATACTACGTATATTAGGTTCTATAGATTATAGCTATCAAAGATTATGCACTAGCTAATAGTGTGTAGAAATATGTTAATCCAGACCTGCCTACTCCTGCTATACCGCTATAGGAACTAACCAAGCCGTATCTATCTAATATAATTAAGAAACCTACGAATATATTTATATCTAACCCTCCTAAGCTAATTAGACTTATTAATCTTACCTCCGACTAATTAGCTATCTATCGAATCTTACTTAGCAAATATAAGTTAGCTAGATCTGATTATCTACGCTATATACGATCTATCGAGATCTTAAAGCAAGGAATTCGATCCTCTCTTACGCTAGAAGGGAGACAGATTATTAATAGCCTAATAGTACACGAAGCGATTACTAAGCTATACGCTACCTTTGCTCTATTAGACTAATCTAAGAACCGCTAAATCCTACGCGACTAGGATACGATTAAACGCTAAACACTACTATCTAAATCGTCTTATCTTGCTATATAGGGCTAGAAATAGATAATTAGCTAATTAGAAGGCGAGAAAGCCGGAATTACCTACTTTTAAGACCCGCTATCTCTAGTATACGACTTCCTAGAGACGATTCAACCTAGCGATCAAGGCTTCTATACCTTCTAGTATAATACGATCCTCTAGGGCCTAAAGAGGCCTACCCTGACCGAACTAGTTAATTAGTTTGTTAACTAATACCGCCTAATTATACCTAGTAGACGACTAATTGCT